AGGTGGTTATGCCCGCCTTTGACTAACGACTCAGTCAGGTGGTTTTGCCCGCCTGTTACTGGGGGTCATGGATTGGAATAAAACATGTCTTTTGAGTTATTTTGTGATCAGATATCCTAATTGTATGCCAGTCAAACTTTTGTTTCTATACCAAGTTATAAAGTCTAATAGTGTGTTTTGTTTTCATCATGGCTCTGGTCCACCGGCTAGGCAGTTATGCAAGGTGGTAATTTTCATGCCCGCCTTTGACTAATGACTCAGTCAGGTGGTTTGGCCCGCCTATAGTGTTACTGGGGGTCATGGATTGGAATAACACATGTTTTGAGTTATTTTAATTTGTGATTTGATATCTGAATTGAATATCTGAAGCTGTGTTTTGTTTTGTAGAGGAGGAAAAATGTACTTGATTGTTAAGACTCTAGAGAAAAAACCTTTTTACATCTTAAACCTAATATGTAATTATTTTGTGAATGAAATTTGATTTAAGTAGTTTGCCTTAACCATGTTGTTCAAGAGAGCATTATTGTGTTAGTTCAATTAGAAGGAACTCCAAAACACTCAGTCCTATTTTCAACCCTCATGACCGATACAATACATTAAGAACACTTTAATATCGACTAAAACAAGTCTTGTTTTTTTTTTTTCAATTTCATTTGTCACGCAGGTTGCAGCCACAAGAGGACAATATCTAGAAGAAGCAAAAAAGATGCACCGCCATCCATTTTTACTGTGGGAAAGGCATTACACCATGACTGTAAAAATACTAATAATTGGAGAGGAAGACTTCCTGCTAACTATCTTTCCTGGGTACCACCTTGCAGCTCAAACCTTGAACCTCCTCGGGCTCTGCCCTAAGCACTGATTTGTGATAGGACAGTACGCATCACTCCTAAGCAGTTAGACAGTACACACTATGTCTTGCACACTTGACCTTTCATTTTTACTTATTGTTAGAAGTCTAGCTGCTTATTCAGTGATTAAAAATGTGATTTCCTATATTTTTCAAATGCGTAATTTTTTTGCCTAATACTATAAATTGATTTAATATTACTTTTCTGTTAATGTTTTATTACCCCTATGGGAAGTGCAATTTTACACTTGACCAAGGTGTAAACCATTCACAGTTACACTGTTTGGTGTGTAAATGAACCTTCTGGTTGCGTGTCAAATTACACTATTGGACAATGTGTAATAATACACACAAAAAAAAGGCTGCCGGGGCTGGCAAGGCTACTACACTATCATTTGGTGTAATATTACTGTTCTATTAGTATTTTATTACACTTATAAGAACTGCAATTTTACACTTGACCAAAGTGTAAACCACTCACATTACACTGATTGGTGTGTAAATATAACCTCTAGTTGTGTGTTAAATTACACTATTATAAAATGTGTAATAATACACAGAAAAAAAAGGCTGCCGGGGCTGGCAAAGCTACTACACTATCATTCGGTGTAATATTACTGTTCTATTAGTATTTTATTACACTTATAAGAACTGCAATTTTACACTTGACCAAAGTGTAAACCACTCACATTACACTGATTGGTGTGTAAACATAACCTCTAGTTGTGTGTTAAATTACACTATTATAAAATGTGTAATAATGCACACAAAAAAAAGGCTGCCGGGGCTGGCAAAGCTACTACACTATCATTCGGTGTAATATTACTGTTCTATTAGTATTTTATTACACTTATAAGAACTGCAATTTTACACTTGACCAAAGTGTAAACCACTCACATTACACTGATTGGTGTGTAAACATAACCTCTAGTTGTGTGTTAAATTACACTATTATAAAATGTGTAATAATACACACAAAAAAAAGGCTGCCGGGGCTGGCAAAGATTTTACACTTTTTTTTGGAGTAATGTTACACTTTAATTTTAAGTGTGTGCTCACCTTCGCTATCAAAGACAACCACGCCTCTCCCGGAAAGACGTTCAAAATCACCTGTCCACATGGCCTCTCCGAAGTTGATGGCAACATGGTACTGGTCGGCGTCGCTACCACGGGTATAAGAGAGCACTTCTTTATCTACGTGAACGATTTTGATATCATCACTGGCAAAGGCAGGTTTCTTCCTTAGGTTTACCAGCTTGACATAATTGCTGTAGAATGATTTAGGATCGGCCTTCTCCGTCTCCACATTAAAAGTCGTGTAGTCTGAATTGACTTCCAGCCATGGTGTGCCACTGGTAAAACCTGCAGTAATTTAGTGTAAACGTGTTACTTAATAACAGTGTTATATATAAGACACAAAGTAATTTGTCAGGGTCCGAAATTGTAACCAGCTGGTTGCCAATGTGCCTAAAACTATTATTGAGAGCTGGCAACTAGAATTTCATAGCTAGTCATGCAGGGGACTGAATAAGGTTTAAAAATGTAACGACGCTTTCCATTTGTAAGAACTGACCAGCCAGACCATTCCTGTCGTTAAGAGACTTTCACTTTTAATCAAAACTATCCAGCCAGATATCAGGGGCACCCAATGAGGATATAGTTCAAAACCACTTAACATAACATTGTTGAACGTATTTTCGTATTTAAACGGTAGATATAGGCATATTTTTATCCCCTAAAAACTTTTCATCTGTTCGGATTTCCTAGCTGAAAGTCTAGTGATCCGAAAATTATAGGGATCAAAACTTACCTTTTCGAAAATTTCAGCCCGGAAAAGCCTCCCGAAAATTCTAGGTGGCCTTTTTTAGGGTAAATATCCGTTTAAAATGGGTAATTATACCATTTTGTATATGTTCGAAAATCCTAGGAGAGGCAGGCAAGCAAGGAACTTTACAACAAATGCTCCGAAAATTCTAGATCTCAAATCTTCTTCCGAACAGATATTTTCCCGAAAATTGCCGTTGGGTGCCCCTGAAAGTGATGCAGTGGGGGAGAAAGATCATGGGAATTCCCGTTCATTTCTCTCACTTGCCACTTGAAATGGAACGGTAAACCCGCACCCAGGCCAAAATCAAGGATGAAGCCGCGCGAAGAGAAAAAACATGCCAATTTCCCATCCTTGATTTGGTGAAAGGGAGGGGTGGGTCTAAGTTTTTTATTCATTATTTCAAAGATTGCAATCTTGGACAAAAAAAAGCGCTCGTGTGCTTATTTAAAATAGCAGATAAGAGGAGGGGCCGCTTATTAAGTTTTTCCTTTCAACGAAGTGTATAGCCTGAGAAAACAGCCGACATTTGGCGACACTACCACTGGTTTCCCAGCCAAAAGACGTCTGACAAAGGAGCGCGGAAATTCCATACTGATGACGCGTCACTACCCAGATCTGGGTAGTGCTTCTGCTTTCTCGCACCACGTGGGAAATTTGACTCAACCAATAAGAAACACTACCCAGATCTGGGTAGTGACGCGTCATCAGTATGGAATTTCTGCGCTCGTTTCTCAGATGTCATTTGGCAGGGAAACCAGTGGTAGCATCGCCAAATGTTGGCTGTTTTCTCAGGCTACGAAGTGTCACTTTGTTTTGGCTATAATTGAAATCTTTAATAGAGACGTAAAGTGAATAATAATATAGTCCTCAAGTTAAGATCATCCTACTCAATGGTATGGTATGCACATCGTCACAATTTTCATTTGAAAAAGTGAGGGGGAGGGGAGGAGGCGCTTATTCGAGGAAATATGATATACGTCGAGTTGATTTTGTATGTAGTCAGTTGCTATACTTCAAATCCCAAAACAAACAGCACGAAAATAAACTAAGCAGCTAAAACACTGATGCCCCTCTGCCATTGCAAAGTTATGTTTGCCAGTACGAGAATACTCAAATAATCACAAGTACGGTATTTGGTACTTCAAATCAATCATTTTATTGACTGAATATGTCAATTAACAAATGAGTTTTACCAAAAATTCACAAACACATATGATTTGTATAATGTTGTGGTTCAATTTTGTCCTTGGTTTAAATTAAATCTTTCTTTTGTCTCGGGGTATTCCCGTAGTTATATAATTATGATAAGGAGTTTGAAAAACAGGAAAATAAAAAATGTAACCAAGAATAAAACTGAAACAAATCGTGCACAGCATTACTTACTACAGTCAAAACCTGCTTTACACAGACCCAACATCTCATTGTCACAGACAGTTTCAGTGTGCAAAGAAAGTTGTGTCCGATGGCCTGGGGCTAGTGGATTTTGCTGATGGGCTAGTGATTTTTGTTGTTAACCTGCCCAATGGGCAAGTGCTGTTTTGGGGGAAAACTCAAATTACAGAGGGATTGTAATCAATCCTGCTAATCAAAAAGGATTTTGGGGCTAGTTGAAATGACTTGTGGGCTAGTACACGCTAACCACACCTTGCCCGAATGGCAGGCTGCAAAACTGACTTTCTTTGCATCCTGAGTTTGCTTTGTCCCAGGAGAAAGAAAGTCCTTATGTTTTTCTCTAAATTCAACCCACTTAATACAGACATCCCTTTAATACAAAAACTTTCTATGGCCCCCTCAGTGTCCATATAAACAGGGTTGGACTGTAATGATACATTGTGTGACAAAACATGATTATCATTATGGCATCCAAGTAACTAATAAGTGCGGTTAAAGGGACAGGTTCACAGTTAAGCGTATGCTCATTAATTAAAATACTTTTTCCAATTTATTATTAATTCTATCAGTTACATATATAGCTCAGTGATCTCAGAGTGTATTTCACAGTAGACGTGTATTTCTATGGTTGATTAATTTACAGCTACTTGCAAATATTCAAGTTGATCAAGTGCAAGTGACTGCCAGGGAAGTGTGCAGATTGGTTCTTTGACAACATTATGACATGATCATATTGCTTGCATAAACGATACAGCGTGTCTCGGTAGAAAAACAGTATTTTGATAAATGAGCATGCGCTGAACCGTGAACCTGTCCCTTTAATCTAGAGCTTTTCTTTAGGCTTGGCTAGATTTATATATTATCACATTTTCATGTTCACTTTCATTATTTTGCCAGAAAATAATAATTTATAAATAACAAAATAAACTGGTTTAAATTACATGACACTGGCCATCAACAAGAATGATGAAAAAACAAAGCAAAATAAAAAGAGATTGAGCATGAAATTCATTTACAGCCACTTCATAGCACTGAATAGCTTCAGAGTTGCAGTTGTTACTACTGGCTGATATTTCTAAATTTCAAAGGCACCTAATTAAGCATGAAATTCATAAATATGCAGGAGGTAATGTGATGGATGTCTTCCAGTTATTACTTTTCATACCACTTTTCACTGCCTCTACTCACGATAAGAACCTGACCAACATTGAGCTTGATTCTGTTCACATCCACTTGAGAGTTTTCTTGCTCACCTTCGCTATCAAAGACAACCACGCCTCTCCCGGAAAGACGTTCAAAATCATCTGTCCACATGGCCTCTCCGAAGTTGATGGCAACATGGTACTGGTCGGCGTCGCTACCACGGGTATAAGAGAGCACTTCTTTATCTATGTGAACGATTTTGATATCATCACTGGCAAAGGCAGGTTTCTTCCTTAGGTTTACCAGCTTGACATAATTGCTGTAGAATGATTTAGGATCGGCCTTCTCCGTCTTCACATTAAAAGTCTTGTAGTCTGAATTGACTTCCAGCCATGGTGTGCCATTGGTAAAACCTGCAGTAATTTAGTGTAAACGTGTTACTTAATAACAGTGTTATATATAAGACACAAAGTAATTTGTCAGGGTCCGAAATTGTAACCAGCTGGTTGCCAATGTGCCTAAAACTATTATTGAGAGCTGGCAACTAGAATTTCATAGCTAGTCATGCAGGGGACTGAATAAGGTTTAAAAATGTAATGACGCTTTCCATTTGTAAGAACTGACCAGCCAGACCATTCCTGTCGTTAAGAGACTTTCACTTTTAATCAAAACTATCCAGCCAGATATCAGGGGCACCCAACGAGGATATAGTTCAAAACCACTTAACATAACATTGTTGAACGTATTTTCGTATTTAAACGGTAGATATAGGCATATTTTTATCCCCTAAAAACTTTTCATCTGTTCGGATTTCCTAGCTGAAAGTCTAGTGATCCGAAAATTATAGGGATCAAAACTTACCTTTTCGAAAATTTCAGCCCGGAAAAGCCTCCCGAAAATTCTAGGTGGCCTTTTTTAGGGTAAATATCCGTTTAAAATGGGTAATTATACCATTTTGTAGATGTTCGAAAATCCTAGGAGAGGCAGGCAAGCAAGAAATTTTACAACAAATGTTCCGAAAATTCTAGTTCTCAAATCGTCTTCCGAACAGATATTTTACCGAAAATTGCCGTTGGGTGCCCTGAGATATGTCAAATCCTAAATAAGATGCACAAAGGAGATGATTTTTCAGCAAAAACTCATGGAAAAAGCTTATTGCTTTGTCAAAATGACTGGTCCGGCCATGGTCCGGCATGCCAGTTCTGACTTTTAAAAAGCACACTGAGTCTCCTGTAGCTCAGTGGTGGAACTTCTGGACTAGTAACCACCTTGTTGGTAGTTAATTTCACTGGTACATAATTTAGCGATTTTGACGAGACAGTATTTTGCAGGGTTCGCAATTTTAACAGGCAAATATAAAAAAAAAGGGCACTAAACTTTGCAAAGTAAGCATTTTTTTTTAAGTCTGAACCTTTAAAAATTTTTAGATGAGCAGGAACTTGTAACTTATGGGTGAAATCTTTGCAAACTAATGTTATTTCAAAAGTGAAGATACAAATTTGAGGTTACTAGTAAAACCAGTTAACAATTTGTGTTGGCCCATACATATCCTCTATATACTGTCACTATTACAACTTAATTCTGCTTTTAATTTTCTATATGGGTATTAAATTTCCTAAGGATTTATTTTCGCAGGTCTTTAATTTCACGATTTTTTTACAATTGCGAAAAACCCCAAAGACCCACGAAATTTACTACCAATAAGGTGGAAGGTCATAGGTTACACTCCTGTTGAGAGTACTCTGATTTTTCTTCCACGCTGCCCATGTCATTGACTGAGAAAAACACCTCTCCCATGTAATATTTCACGACCTTGTTAGTGACATTTAGAGTTGCATTACATTATGTACGTTGTGACAATTATCACATGTTTATGTCATGTGACATTGTTGAACTCAGGACTCTTCTTTGGAACTAGACTAACAAGTAGTTGAGATTTGTCTAGACAGTTTGTTTATGTTAAGACCTTACAATTCAATGCCACATTTCTGTTACTGTGCATAAGCAAATATTGACATTTTAGTCCTAGCAGCAAGCAGGATTTTTGTCACAAAAACATGGTTTAATGGCCTTAGCTCCAATGAGTATCCTGTAGCTCAGTGGTAGTGACAAGTGACAAGAAGGTCATTGGCTCGACTGCCATTGGGAGTACTCAGATTTTTTCTTCCGAGCTACCTGTGTTACTTAATGAATAAAACATCTTTCTCACGTATTCACTGACATGACACATTTCTGTCAAGAAAGAGTTACCCACCAGCATTGGCTGAGTTATCCCACTGCATTGGAGTTCTCTGACTATCTGCGCTGGATTTGCTGCCATCCAGCATGCCAATCTCTTCACCATAATATGACATAACAGCCCCTGGAAGGGTGAGTAAAAGGGCATTCATTGCATTCCGGTTAACACTACCCACATTGTCACGGCTCCCAACACGAACTTCATCAAGGTTGCCAATGACCCAGTTTGGAGTCTTGCCTTTCGGGAGAGCACTCGTGTATTCTCTAATAGTGTGAAAGATTCCCTGAGACAGGGTCATGCCAGTGCGTTTTACCATGGAGATCAAGCCCAGGTTTTCTGGCATCTGTACCTTGTCAAAATAAAGTGATGTTTTGTTGTAATCACCGCTCACTTCAGCGATCAGGAGAGGATTACTTCCATCGCTTTTCAGAGAATCAATGAACTCCTGCAGGATTGTAAGATCCTCATCAAGACCTGAAACAAGCAGGAAAATGCAAAATTTCTGGTACTATATCATTATTGCATGTTACTGGTTTAAGGTTTCCAGTGCCAAGAAAAAGAATATATGACTTACAAAAATTAAGTTGGGTTCCCATAAATTTTCATGCGACCAAAACATGGTTACAGATGTTTTCCCATGATCTTTGGGCATGAAATTGGATTTGAAATCCTAGGGCTTGCAACCAGCCACTTTTACTTATGTCAATGCAACTGTCATCGGAATATACCCCAGAATATAACAGAGATGGACTAGATTCTACATGTATGCCTATGGAGAGGATTGTTTTAATTTATGTTTGACAAAATAGATGGGGAGATTTGCAATTTTGAAAACAATCACACACTACAACCACACGGATGTCATTGGAATTTACACTGTATAACAGCAAACAATACTATTGTCAGCAAGAGACTGGTGCATGTTTTCACTACTGATTCTTTCCAAGCATTTGCAAACCTGACAAGAGTTCCAAATAAGATGAAGAAAAGTGCGCATTCAGTTATAATAGATGGTAAGCCACACAGATTTTCCTAAAATATTAATCATGCAGTACAAGATGGAAAAAATATTGCACATTCCTACTAGCCGCGTGAAAAGTTTCCTAAATACCTCATCTAAGGTCGGGTGAGGCGGGGGGGGAGGGGGTAGGGAGCGCAGCAGGACTATGAAATGAATGACCTGTAAATCGATTTTATATGAACTCTCCTACGATAGAAACTGTCATCGGTATTACTAAGTCAGGGAAGAATAAACTGTATGAATTTACTTACCGAAAGTGAATTTATGATCCAGAAAGTCGTACAAGGGATTTGAGGCGTTGTAACCAGCTAGCGTAGATTCGTTTTCAAATTTCTCGCTTTCCGCGAAGTACTGCACCGAGTCGAATCGGAAACCATCGACCCCTTTATCAAGCCAAAACTTCATCGCCTTCTTCAGTTCATCTTTCACTTCTTGGTTTCTCAGATTCAAGTCAGGTTGCTCTTCTTTAAACTGGTGAAGATAAAATTGCTTGCTAGCGCTGTCGTATGTCCAGGCGCTGCCGCCGGATACACTAAGCCAGTTGTTTGGGGGTTCTGTTCCGTTCTCTCCTGTTCCGTTACGCCAAATATACCAATCTCTCTTTGCATCATTTTTGCTTTTCTTGCTTTCCTCAAACCAAGGATGTTTCTTTGAAGTGTGATTGGGAACGAAATCCATGATGATTTTCAGCCCTTTCTCTTTAGCGTCCTTCAGAAGATTTTCAAAATCGTCCATGTTTCCGAACAACGTGTCGATACTTGTGTAGTTTTCAACATCGTAGCCTCCGTTGGACTTGTAGATCGGGTTTAACAACAGAGCATTAACTCCCAGCTCAGCAAAGTAATCTAACTTGCTAGAAATCCCCTTCAAGTCGCCATTTCCATCACCGCTGTTGTCAAAGAAAGATCGAGGGTAAAGTTGGTAAATGACCGCGTGCTTCCACCACGAATCGTCGTCCGTTTCGTTTGCCTTACCGGGAGCTGGAGTCGTTTTAGGTGAACAACGAGGAGACACTGCTATAATAACTATAGCCACGACGACAAGCACTAGAACGACAACACCGAACAATGCCACGAGGATCAAGCGTGTTTTTCTGTGAGCGGCAATTTCTTTTTCAGTCGGCTTCAAAGGGGCATCAGGAGAGTCATCGAAGGCAATTTTCACATCATCTTTTTCGAGACTGTTAAATGCTACCTCGTTAGACATGTTGCAAGGGACTGCTCACTTAAAAAAGTGAGAAAAACCCTGGAGGGAAGCTACAATCGCAAGCAATAGTCTGAAATGGCGCGAACCACAACACAAAACAAAGATACACGCGGCAAATTTATTCAATTGATCACGCGGTCGTCCCATGGGAAAACATGAGATCATTTTTAGGGAGGGGTAGGGTGGATGTTGAAAACAATTTCGATTTAAAATCTTTCAAAGGATATAGTTCATCAAAATTGGAATCCATCTTTTGGGCACATAATAATTTTCTTACTCTCATTTTATTAAACCTGAAGAGAAAGTAAAAGCTAAATTAAAGTTTTTTTTCCTGAAGACAGTCTTACGGTGTTACCCCTCCCTATTAAGCAAACGACCTTTGCTCCGTGAAATTATTAATGAGGCTCTGTTCTCGCCGGTCGATGCGCCGCATCACACGAAGCTTTTGACGACAGTATTGCATCAGAAATGTCATTAGCATTTTATTGAGAGAAGCTAAATAATGAAATTGAATATCATATTATCTTGATGAATCGAAATCTTCTGCCAAGATAATCTTTTGAAGTAAATGTGTGAAACATTTGTTGTGAATTTGGGTGCGGCCTGTTTCCCAATTTAATTTTAGTGAAAATCTTAAATTAATTTTAAATTAAACCAAAAAAGGAAATCATCTTTTATCTTCTTATTGTATTCAACTGTAACATGAATCCGCCTTGCGTGTTTCATTCTTACTTTTGAATGTTTGATATTTGGTGACCTGTTATGACAAGAGAAAGCGGATCTTCCCTTGCGCCACTAAGTTGTCAATTTGCCAAGGGTACCCAACAGCTAGGGTCAAGCCATTTCTTCCAAACACCGAAATTAATTTTCAGAGAGAGCCGTTTGTAGAGTAAAATAATTCTGATCCAAATGCTCAAAAGTTACTCTCACTTTCACTATGAAAAATATGAAAAGAAAACAATCAGGAAATTAATAAAGTCGGATTCGAAGTTTTAATGAGCCGATTTTATTTGTACACTCACCTTAGAAAATAAACAAAACTAAAGCTCTCGAACCTTGGATGTACGTGAAAAGAAAACAATTAGGGAAAGAATCAGAAATTACGTGCAGTCAATAAACCCCTGTACTCTTGTTAAATTAATTAACTTGAACATGGGTCAAAACTGAGGCAGGTGCACAGATAATTCCGTGTAAAGGATGGGCTTAAATATACAAAATCTAATGGAGGCGGGAAAAACGATAGTGGGTAGAGAGGTACATCCGCATTATACGTTTCTGGGAAACAGCCCACCTACCCCTTCCCTAAGCCAACATTTTGCTGTAAGTGATAAGTAAGCGTTAATGTTGGGTTAGGGGAGGGGTAGGTGGGCAGTTTCCCAGAAACGTATAATGATAATGATCCCATCCGAGTCAGTGTTTAAATATGTAGTGAGCTGGTAAGGTAGTCAACACAAACATTGTTCCACATCCTATTTGCTTTTGTGATAATGAATATTAATACCCAGCATCTAGAAAAAAGAAGGGGGGCATCGAAGGCTTAAACGGAAGGGGACTGTTTTTCGGTTGTATTGCTTGGCCTAAAACAGGCCTACAGGCTGCAGATGCATAACTGAAATTCAACGGCATCAGAATATTGGTGGACTCTGTAACTGGGAAACCAAATCCGGAATGCTACTACCCCCCTTAAAATGGTAAAATAAATTTTTTAAAAAAAACTCAACTTGTACTACAGTCATCGGTTTAGCGAGAAAATCAGGTATAAACGCGGTTTCAGAATCTCTCTTCTTAGGGATTGAATATTTCCAGTGCCATTTCCTTTCGAGCCGATATTTGTTCCTTTTTTTTTGGAAAGCAGACGACGTTGTTGCGAAAGTTCGAGGCTAATGAATAATCAATAGTTAATCATGAATAAACCAGCTTTCAAAAATATGACTGGCTGGGTGGTCTTGTGCTAAACCAAACTACATTTGCCAAATTATTAAATAATCTGAAAAAAAATTTCAACTAATAACATGCAAGAGAAGACAAAGGGTGGAGCACCCTATGTGATAAATATAGCAGGTGTCAATCGCAAGCTGGAAATCATTTACGACCATTCACAGCAGGAAAGATACGTGGAACGACCAAACAAATTCCCCAGTAAAACCACTCTACCTGAAAAAAATATACAAGCGAAACATTTTCTTCACAAACCCGAAATCATATCATGAATTTAAAGTACAATAACAGAAAAACCTCTATCAGACTGTAACCCAGTCACCATAACTCCGGACTTCTCCCCTCCCCCCTTTCACCACCACCCACTTGGGCATATTGTTCCAGTATATAAAAAATTGAGCGATAGTCGGTAAATGAACTGAGAAAATAACTGATTTTTATTTGGTTTTCTCGTTTACTTTTACCCATATGAATTTTCCACGGCATCGGAAATCTCTTCACTTAAGATCAAAGTCCATTTAGTATTGTTATGAATTATAAATGCATCGCACGACTACAATGAGCCAGCCAGCTAAAGTCATGAAATATTTTTCTTGTTCTTCCTCTCGTTGTTAGTCAAATAAATAGTTAACCTCAGAATTCTCCTTTGAACGACGCTACATCATTTTCCCAACTGATATTACGTGTGTGCGTGCGTGTTTTTTTCTTGAACGTTGTGGCTTTTATTTGTTTGGTTTGGAAGGTCATAATTTCCTTTTAACATATTACCATAATATGAGCGCTGATTGGAGCGTAGCAAATTGTTCCAAACATTTTACTACGATTAGATAAAATTCGAGGGCAAAAAATGCAAGTGAAAGATAAGATTATAAAAAATTGAACACAGTTAATTTACTATCAAATGAAAAAACGTATGAGACGAAAAAAAAACTTTTCTGCAAGGAATGTAGGGGGTAAATGTCTAAATAGTCTGAAAATATTCAAGTTAAAGAAGACCGCAAGCTCACAGTGGTGAATTTATGCTCGTAACATATCTGGATAAATTTTCCGTGTCTTGTAGATCTATCTGTGTCTATGGTCAACTCAGAAATTGTTTGGAAAACCAGTCCATGGCATGAATGAGAGTGTGTTTGGGCGAGAATTGAAGAACTCTCATGTTGAAAATGAGACAAAACGAAGCAAACCTTTTAATGTGGAAGTACATTTTTATGGTGTCGAAGACTTTGCACTTCGTTGTGAAAAAGGGGCTAGAGGCTACGTTGGTCTTCCTTTGCGTACAAACGAATCCAAAACGCTTCTCGCTGTCACAGTGATATAGGCTTCCCCGCGTTTCGGACATCCCAATTCCCAAAACCCTATCGATATGGGCATCCCCTGTAACCCTAACCCTAACCCAGCTCGCTATAAGCAATATGAGAAGGGATGCCCATTTCACTAGGGTTTTGGCAATGAGGATGCCCAAAACGCGGGGATGCCCGTATCACTGTAACATCGCCACTCCAGAAACAATAAGGGGAATGAGTACTAGCTTTCGGAGCAACGATTTCTGGGATCGTTTGGGTAGACAAGCGTTACTTGTGATTGGTTAATAGTTGCCCTGGATACCATCGACCAATGATAACTAACGCCTGTGTACCCAAACAATCCCAGAAATTACTGCACCTAAAGCTTGTACTTATTCTCCCTAGAGCTTCTGAAGTGGACAAGGTAGGCTGCGTTTCAGCCAGCCCAAGCATCGTCTACGCATCGCCTAGGCCATTGGGGATTTAGAGTGTCTATGACGCAGGCACGCCATTAGGACGAGTCAGGCTTCAATGAGCCTTTAACAACATTTTTATCCCTCAGCGTTTACTGCATAGATGGATGGTTATGCACACAATTCCATAACATGTGGAAACTATTGCATGTATTTGTTGTTCCAACACATAACATGCTGAATATCAACCTATTTATAAATAATTAAATCCATTTGAAATACTATTAATAAGTTAACTCTTTGATGCCGTATAATACAAAACCAAGCAACCTTCAGTTGCACGCAACAGAATTCTTCTGTTGCTTGAATTACCATTTTGCGCCATTCAACTTCCTCTGTTTTACCTAAAACTTTCTTGTTTTCCTGATTTTGTTCAATTCAACCTTTTGACGTATCCGCAATAACTCTGCGCTACATTTCATGTTGAGAAGTGCAATTTAGACCCCGGAAAAACAGCGTCTGTACTGGGCAGCTGGTCACCAAGGGACTTAACTCGACGACCTTTCAAAACCGTACACTTTTCCTCCGGGTTTTTATTCGTCGATAGACGAGATATTCTAGCAACCAAAGCCTCGCAGTCTCATTATTCGTAATCTTCTGCATACTCGTCTTCTACACCTAGAAGATAATAATTATACAGCATGAATCGCTAGCTTCATTCTTCTATGGAACCCAAGCCACCAACTGAAACTAGCCTATGTTCAGACCCCCCATGTTTGGCTCCCACCCCGGCTCCGATTATTCCTGAGGGGAGGGGGGTCTGTACACAGGCCAACAGGCGTTCCTGGGGCAGGAACGCCGGACGAACCCCTAAGAACGTCTGCGCGAGAGGCTACGAACCCCTAAAAACGTCTGCGCGAGAGGCTACGAAGCCCTAAGAGCGTCTGCGCGAGAGGCTACGAAGCCCTAAGAACGTCTGCGCGAGAGGCTACGAAGCCCTAGGAGCGTCTGCGAGGGAGACTCTTACAAACATCGAAGAACGGTTTAAATAACACAACAAATACAAACGTGTTGGCCTAACAGCTTTTCGCAGAAAATCCCTACACAGTAATTTTCAAGGAGTTATAATAACTCCTCTAGTGGGGCTAATTTAACTCCTTACAGTAAAGTTATTTTTTGGGGTGTTATTTTAACTCCAAAAAGGAGATTAAAGAACTGTTTTTCAGGAGTAAAAGTGACCCCAGATATTGAGGAGTTAAAATAACCCCAAAAAGGAGTTATCCTGTACCCAAAATTTTTAATCCACTTTCAGAGTTAAATTAACTCTAAAAAGAGTAAAAACAACACATGTAAGGAGTAAAAGTAACCCCATTTCGCAGTTATTTTAACTCCAGACTGGGAGTAAAAAGAACTCTTTTTCAGGAGTAAAAACGACCCCAAATTAGGAGTTGAATTAGGAGTTAAAGTAACCCCCAAAAAGGGGTTATCCTGTACCTAAAATTTTTACTCCATTTTTGGAGTTATAATGACTCCCTAAAAATTACGGTGTACTCTAGTGTTTCCAACCTGAAATATAATGCTTGGGAGGCATATTTGTAAGTCACTAAGCTGTGATTTTGTCATTTTATTTCACGAGTCATTTCTTCGCATTTGTTAAGCTCCATAGCGAGTAACAGGAGTTATTGGCAATAGAAAACACTATGGAGAATTTTGCAGCCGTAACAAGTCGCACAAATTTAGTCTGATTTGTTTTTTGCGACTTGTTGCGGCGACAAAATTCTAGTACACACAAAGTGATTTGTCGCTGCGACATGTCTCCGCAACGTGATGCCGCAACTAGTCGCCCGACCTGTACACAAGAGTGATCTGTTACCGAGACGTGTTACTGCAACTTGTCGCCCTGTGTGTTCCGACCTTAACACTCTACTTACCGAAAAAAATGGAAGCAACTTACCTCCATCGTATATATGCCCCATGAGCTGTGCCACACTCACTGGTTCCCCCTCCTCCTCCTCCTCCTCTAGTTCATGATCATCGTACTCTTGCGTATTTTCATCGTTCTTCTCATACTCCACGGGGCCACTTTCAACAACTACCTCATTTTGGCTTTCTTCTTCGCTGACTGGTTTTGGAGACTGAATAAGCTGGAAATGATAACGCACTCTTGAGTCGACGTTCTGCGTTGTACCGTAAAGTCCCTGTTTCCCCCCCCCCAACTTATAAGTGCCCTTTGGCCATAGGAAAATCTATCTAGATTTCATTCGTTATGATTAAGCACCCCCACCCCCACCCCCACTTATAAGCCGCGGCTTCCCCCGACTATAGGCTCATCTATGTGTACCTATTTCTTGTTATGTTCTAGAATTTTAGTGAAATAAAGTACGTTTCGTTGCCAGCCAGTCTCAAAATGTTTTTTCTGCTTATTACAGGGTTTGCAATTGGAATTGTCCCTTTAAAAAACGGCCAAGGGGACAATTTGTCCCCTTCAAAATTTAGGGAAAAAACTCGAATCGAAGCACACACGAAGAGATTTATTTCAGTACAGATTTTGCAAGCTGAAACAGAGCGTGGAAGGTATATTTTATCGCACCTTTAAAGTTCATTCCAAAGTTACGCTTCAGTCACACTCTACTACTATTTTTGTCGGAAATCTAAGACAGGGCTTCTGATTCTTCGCGCGGTCGCGAAGCCGCGAAATTCACAAAAACACGAAAAATACCGCGAAATTCGGTAGAAATCTTATCAAATACATGTCTGTAAAACATATTTGAAACTTATTTCAGCTATAGGGGCTATTTGCTTGCCGTAAACTTGCAAATTTATCTTGGAACTTCGTCACTGAAACATGCAAACAGATTATGTTGCGAAAAACTGGGCACTAGCCATGATGTTAAAGGCTTTGCCATTGGTTCATTTCTGGAGCGTATTGTTGTTGAAAGAGCAAATGATGAGCTCTGTTACAAAAACGTTAAAAAGGCTGGTCTGATCAGCGCAAAACCGATCGATTTCTAGTGAAATTTGCCTTGAAAATAACCACAAAATCGGCCGTTTTTTACCGATTGCTTTTCGGCGAAGTTTGCCCCGAAAACTCCCGCGCAATCGGCTTGTTTTTCCGCGAATTTGTCCCTAAAAATCCCGCGAAATTTGACTTTTTCTTCCGAGACCTATCAGAAGCCCTGCTAAGAAGACAAACCCCTTTGCATCAGCAGAAGGGTGTACAAATTTCTGTCCCCCTAAAAATGAAAATGTCCCCCAAAAATTTAGCCAAGGGGACAAATTGTCCCCCAGTGATCAAATCCTAGCTCAAACCCTGCTTATTATACTGAGTAACCCCATCACGAATATATATAAGCTCCCCCTAGATCTTTTACCAAATTGTATGGACCCAAGGCTTACTTCCACCGGGATATTACGGTAGCTTGCTTTAAGTATTACACTCTTTTCAAATAAGTCACTGCTAAACGCACACGATCATGATATTCCCTAACCACATTTTTTCAATTCGATTTGCTATGTTCTTTCGATTTGCAGTGTTTGGCAAAATGTCCAAACACGGTGCGGTTTGTTAAGAGTGTTATAAGGTAGGCTAAAAAAGACCTTTATTTGAGTGTCAATGTATTTAGCACGAATGCACTGATTCACAAGGGCGACGAGAGCGGCAAAAAAGCAATAGGTTTCGATTAGCAAAACAACAGCTTTGCTAATCTCTTACCTCTCTATTAAAGAGAATCAAGATTCATGTTTACGCCAAACGGCAAACGTGAATGTGTACCACGTGACCAAGTTTTCCCTTATTTTTCGTTTACTGTTTATTGCTTCTACACACACAAAAAAGTAGTTTTATGCCAGTTTTATCCATAAGAATCGTTCTGAACTGTTTTTATCTGCTTACTTTCCATTCTGAGAAATTCTCAATTTCAATCTGACGTTTGCTGTTTGCGGTAAACGTGAATCTTAATCTCTCTAATGCCGAAAAACCTAGATCTTAAGGTCTCAACTGTAAGCACGCTTACCTTTGGTTTCTTGAAGGATTCTGATGGCAAAACAGCAGGCGAAGACGAATCTCTGAAATTCAGAGAGAACAAAGTTTAACAATTCGCGCACAATCAAGAATTCAGTCAAATCTTGCCGCGTAAGCGACCGAGTAACATCCTTGAAAAAAAGTATGTTAGGTCGGGCTTCGAATTCTGTGAGAAAAACCACGAATTTGTTTTTATCATCTGAGGTAATAAAGTAGATTGGCAACCCTAGAGAGACAGAGAAGCGAACGTTTGGAGTGCCAACCCTTCGGCAGAGCGAATCAGGGGATTGTGGGTTGCGTGTGGTTTTAATACCCATATGTTGGAGGTATATTATTGGTAAGGAAATGATATTGGTATCGGAAAATAATATTGTTATATATTGATATACTGTATATGACATCGTTTTGATATGGTGCCTGGAAAATAATGCACGAATTAACCCTTTGTGAGAGCGAATCAGGGGATTGTAGATTGTGGCTTAAATACCGTATGTTGGAGTAAGGTTATTAGAAGGAACATCATAAGGTCAAAACAAGGAAGTAAGAATAAATTGGTTAAAGGAAAAACGTTCTTTGACTCCGTGAGAATTTAGACAACCTGCAAGCAAGCTCCACGTTTGGGGAGTCGCGAGGAGTCACGCGAAAGGAGACGAGAGTGCGAGGAGTGTGTTCTCTCGCGATTCGCCTCGCTTACCATAATTGAAGTGTTTGCTGTCAGACTAGAATTTAGAGTACCACTTTGAAAGATAAACTGAGTTTCCCTTAAACTTTTTGCGGCTTTCCGTGCTGCATTGGTAAAGAGACAAACAGAAATTTCCCATATTCCAAAGGCTGGAATGATTGAAGATTAAAATGGTCAATCTGTTTTCCGCACTAACTCAGAGTCCTAATGAAGTCCATGCTAGAGAGAACCGCGGACTCTAATTCCCAAAATGGGGTTTATTACCATGGTAACACTTCCCACTGAGTTTAGCCCAACCTTTTTCTTCCACCAGTTCTCGTAGGTACTCGTGGTGTGAGGAATTCCTGTTTGGCCTGTACAACCGGTTCAGCAGCAGGTTTGTCCGGTAGAGAAGGTTTACTGGACTGACTAGTCTCCAGATCTCTCAGTACTTCATAGTTGATTTTGAGAGATATTCTCTTTTCTACTAACATCTTTTCAATTGCTTCTCCGGCGGTACTGGCTGGGCCACTTGGAGTCCTCTTCTTGTAGGATTTTCGTTTCTGGAAACGCCATAAACACTCTAAATCATACCCATAACAAACAAAAAAAATCCTCCAATCTGATCGGCTATCGTTAGCCTGTGTAGCAAGCGTTTCCGTTTGGTTTCATAGCAAAGAAAGACCGAGGAACGGGATTTTCTGTTTTGACCGCGCGAAAACTGGAGAGAGAGCGAGAGCTCTGAGCGGTTTTTGACTCTCGATCCTCGTTTTTTGCTCCGAAATCGCACAGGAACGCTTGCTACGCAGGCTAGGCTATCGTAAGCCCTGATTTCAGCATAAAAGGGACCAAGAAATAGGGCAGTACGCGTTGAAAAGAGATCATTCTTGGCGTCGGACAATATGATCCACCGCACACAGCAACAGGACAGCTGCTCTAAATTGATAGAGTTACTTATTATATAGCTCGAATTTTCAAGTGCAGGCAAGATGATGGGAATCCCGTTCCCTACCCGCTAGGGATTTCCCGAGTAAGTCCCGTAAGAAAACGTTATCTAAATCAATAGGGAGCTTAAGCAACACCGTTTTTGAGCGACGGACGTCAACCGGAAGTGGACTTTTTGCATCATTTGGCAGTGGTCTGGCTTAAACTCTCGGGTAAATCGTCTTTATAAGAGAAAAGAAACTTAGCAATAAAAATTTGTTGGAGTCAAGGCATATAAAAAGGGAGAAGGCCTCACTTCCGATTGACGTGTGTCGCTCAATAACGTCTTTGCTTAAGCTCCCTAATATATAAATTCGCCCTTCCTCCACCCTTACCTACCATGCAGGCTTCCTATCCCATAATATTAGTTCATTATGTTCTTGTCTAACCTTTTTATTTTCCTGTTTATTTCCTTCTTCCTTTTCTCTCGCCTCTTTCTCTTGTTTTTCTATGAGGAACAAAAGCATTAAACCGATTAATAAACCGTCTTGTGTTGTCAACGGCTGCCTAAAAGGCTTGACTTAACACAGACATAAGTCTTCCACGAAGACTATTTGATTGCTTTTTTAACGAAGGTAAAGGTGTTTGGCTGGCGAAACTAAAATGTTCGCATTCAGTTAGACGATTTTCAGCCGTGAATGCACAGTTCATTGTCTAACAGAGTTGGTTATAGCAATCGTCCAGTTGAAAGCAAGGTCAGGGGTTTAAAACTCTTTCAGGACTTAATTTGTTTGGATAATTACGCAACTGTACTGGCCCAGTGTAAGGGAACCGAAGACAAATTCTCGATTCCACGCTGCGAAATCCGAATTCCAGGTATTTGATTCCAGCCTTTGTCAGTGGAACTTGGATTCTAGATTCCCATCTTTAGTAGGACTGCGGATCCCTTGAGCTGTATTCCGGATTCCAAAGACCAGCATTCCTGATTTTTCAAGCAAAATTTTCCCAGATTCTGGATTCAACAAGTAAGGTATTCCTGGATTCTGGAATCTGGGTTCCCTTTCATGGGGTGAAAGTACCCTCCTTCGCCCTGAATATTGATTAGATCATTTGCCGCACACGTTGTACGTACCTAAATGAACGTCATAATAAACTCACCTTTTAATTTTTCCAAGTAATCCTTATTTTCTTCCATCCAGAGTTTTGTTTTTATTTCAATCTCTTCGCTGTTTAAAAGGCACTGGAAATCAAGCAGGCAAGAATTCATTTCAACTTACTGAATACTTGGACAAAATAATTTTGATATAGAGAAAATTGCACTAAATGAGTAAATTTCATCGTGGCATTCTTAGTGACGTCCTAAAAGATTCAAAAGTTACAAAAGCTTTTTCACTGAGTTGTCTACAGGAAGGGGGGAATCCAAAAATTCCTGGTTAGAAATCCATTAACAGATTTGTCAATTGAAACAGAATTCTTTATTGTGCGGAACTCTTAATTACCGGTATAGTATCTTTTGACTACTGTCAATAATCAAGCCAATCTCTCAAATCTCTCTTTAGATTATACATGACGTGCAGTAAGCTCAAACGTCAGCATACATTTAACATTACCACCAAAACTCAACACATTAAAAGGATCATTACACACTAAAAGGATCACACTAATTTTTTGGCTCTTACAATTCCATGACCGTCCATGGCTTCTATTTTTTCAATGAGTTAAAAACTCCTTAAGACACTTGTCTGACTTTGTGACTCAAACATCTACATGTAGCTTCATGCTGGATCATTGCTTTGTACTAGGTGCATTATTTTCATAATTTTCCTTGATTCCCACTTACAATCTGTGATATTCCATGGTTAGCAAATCGCATTCTTATAACCATGACTTTCCTAGTCTCCTATGCAGCCAAGCTCCTCCTCTACCCTGCGTAGCAGGCGCTTGGAAGTAATGGGCGCGGGTAAGAACAATGCACACGACAGAGACACGCATGTCTCCCTTGCGCGCCCCATTATCTCTTGCATCCATTACTTCCAAGCTACTCTTCTTCTTCCTGTGGGGAGAAGTGTTGCGTGACAACACAAAGAACAGTTTTCCAGAATTTATTTGTAAGTGTACGAAACCTGCCCAACGACAACTACTGTTACGCACAACCTCAAAACGGCCTGTTGGTACTGTGTTCAACTACAAGACTACATATCATACTTTATCAAGTTCAGCATCATCTAGCCCAGTTAGATCCAGCTCCTCACTTTCTTTGTCTTCTGACGGTTCTTCAACTACAACACAGAACGAATATTCAAAATATAGAATTGAGGCAAACAGTGTACACTGATGTGCCATATGATGGCATTTGATAAGCAACACTGAACTATGTGTCATATCCCAAAAATATGGTAAATTGTAATTTGCTTACCCACGAAGCACTCAAGAGTTCTGAAGAAATCGTTTAAATGTGTCTGTGTGTTTCGAATTCAATTGGAATTTGGAAGCAATGGTTTTTAGGAGAAGGGAAAACAAGAGTACTTGGGGGAAAAACATCTTGAAGCAGGGGAGAGAAAGAAAAATTTAGAAACACTAACGTGCAGCAGTATCTAGCTACCTTCAAACCACATTAATACTGGACACCACGGTGGCCATAGAATGTGTCTGTTTTAACGGGGTGTCCATATTAAGCCAGTTGAATTAAGAGAAAATGTCAGGGTTTTCTATCCCCTGGGACAAAGCAAACTGTCCATAATAATGAGGTCCCTAAAGCAGGGTTAGACATTACATGGCCTTACAAGCAACTTGAACTACTTTTGAACTTGCACTGTAAAACATGATCACTATCTTTACGTCAAGTAAAGAAAAATAAAACGCTGAAGTTGTCCTCACCCATGTCAAGGTACAAGGCAACTATAGGCCAACTAAAAAACATATTTTATACCTGTCTGAGATGTGTCTTCTTTCCCATCACCAACTGATGAAGAATTTGTATTTCCACCATTGCTAAATGCAACATTTGTCTGCTCTCTTGTGCAAAATGGGGGAACAAAAACTGAACTGCCATTCCCGGGAACACCATTGTCATTCTCAGAGGAAGTAATAGGTCCATTTTCTTTGGTAATTTTTACATTATCCTCTTTTTTATGAACTCCTAAAGCCATGTCAACTGCTTTCTGAAAAGCCTCCAATTCAGAAGTGATTTCAGGTTTGTTAAGCTCCTCCATTTGCTGTTTGGCCCTTTTCCTTGCCTGCGTAAATGAAGGAGGATCTTGTTCCTCCTCAAGATCTATTTTTTGAAATTCATCAATGGTGAGTTGGCTAGAAGGTGTATCTTGAAAGTCTCCTAACCTCTTTCTAATGGTGGATTCACTGATGCGAACAACTCGTACAACTTCGCGCACTGTTCTATTAAAGCCATGTAATCTTGCGGAGACCAAGAGGGCTGTCAAGGATGGAATAAATAACATTATTTGGCAGTATAAAATACACAATATACTTTTTATTACAAATCAAGCCATACATGCTTACAGAAAATGGTGTAAAGAAACAAGAACACTTAAAGCTCAAAACACGGTATAAGCTTGGGACTTGCAAACCCACTAGTCCCTCCACTAGTTCTCCTTGCAGCAGCTGAGGGAGAGTGGGTGGGGTAAACAGAAATGCGCAACTCAAACGGGTAATGATAAGAAATAGAGAAGAAATAGAAAACAAAACATCCACCAAGGTCATTTACCTGCCCCACAGAGCCCTGAAGGACGCCGACCATGATGAATCCAATCTCTTTTCATTCTTGAGACCAACCTCAATGCAGTCATAGCAACATCATGCTCCTTTTCACCAAACTCCAATTTGTGTGCAAAACGATGGATGTACAGACAAGGATCTAAGAAAAGGAGAAGTATATATAGTTATAATACATTAATTCCTTACCTGACTCTAACAGCCATTATTGAATACCTGCTTTCTAATATATTGTTCTATAAGGGGCTTATTAACCCAGCACAGAAAAAACATAGTCTTCATGACCCAACCTTCTCTGGGCAAGTCAGCATTTCATATTTTTTCCATTAAAAACAAAGCAAACTAAAAGGGAACTAAATGTTATTGAATGGGCAGTTGCAGGCTATTCAAATGATACCAGAATTGCTTTCATTACCCAATAAATTTTCCTAAAATGAAGTTCCCACTGCATTCACAGGACGACATCAACCATCTCAGCTAATGTCAGCCTAAGGATTTCTCACTCACATGATTTTTGTGCGAGATCAGACATACATGCTCCATTCACCCCAGATTATACAGCGTTTGCATTTCCATTTCAGGAGAAAGTTCTTTTGTCACGTTACATTTTACCAGAATGAAATACATTTCACAGGGACAATTTCAGGACTCATTCTGGAATGATTTTGGTAGAAAACAGTAAGCACCACATAAGCATGCTTTACAAAAAATACAGTCGAACCTCTCGGTACAGACACCTCTCTATTACGGACAGTTTCCTATGTACCGACAAAATTCTCATACATTTCCTCCAAAAAAAACCTCTATAATACGGACCCTCTCTAATACAGACAACGGACACAAAATCTTGGCCTTTGGGAGAAAATTCATACAAACTTAACCTCTTTATTACAGACACTCCGGGACAAGGTTTCGATAATTTGTGGTATATGTACCATTTTCTGTCGGCAGTTACACAAACATTGACACTTTATCAGTCAGCGACACCAATACCAGAACATGTCTTAGGCAAAGTATTTCATTTCGTTCCAAAATTTGTATGTACAGCATGTAACTGAGAAGTACAATAACATTAATCAATCTAGATTCAGAATTAACAAGACACTGAGTATTGGGCTTGATTTTACTTACTGAACACTCCGACCTGTCAGTGGGGTCTTAAAGAAGACATAATCATAGTGACCTCTCTAATACGGAAACCTTTCTAATACAGACACTTCACTCTGTCCCTTTGGTGTCCGTATTAGAGAGGTGCGACTGTATGTGATATAATCATGGGGTGATGTCACAGCCGACATGGAGGTTTACTCCTCTGGGAAATAAATAATTGTGGTACAAATTCTGTGAAAATACTTTGTATTATATACCAACTTGCCTACCTTGTCACAAATTACGTGAAAACTAAGAATAAGCACCATAATTAACCTCACAAATAATATTGATAAATATTACTGTACAGGTTTAAGGCTTTCTTACCAACAGCAGGCAGATTAATGTAGAGCTCCTGAGCCAGTTTAAGATAAGCTCTACCCAATGTGAACACATCAACCTATCAAAGCAATTCACAAAAATTAATTTCAATTCCCACACTCGAAGTGCTAATTATCATTCCGAGGCTTAAAAAAGTGGCTAACTTCACACAAATAATTAAATTTCAAACTTGTTGCCAAGGTTCACGGAAAAAAAAAACAAGAGAAATGAAAAGAAACAACTGTCCACCGTGAAACAAAGTCAAAGCACTTTTTCCAAGGCTTAAGGGAAAAATAACAATAGAAATCACCAAAAGAAACATATAGGGTGCTTTCCATTTACCAAGAAATTCCAGAAATTCTGGTTGGGATGTACATGGAACATTTTACTTTTATCAGGCGTTCCACTGGAAAATTCTCAGGAATAACTGGAAAATTGAAAAGGTAGTCCTGTTTTCTCACTGGAAACTTCTCCGATGGAAACGCATGTTTGATTTACGAGTTTTTGCGAGGAATCACCAATTCTATGCTATTCGAAGCGATATCTGTGCCACCATCTTGAATTTTGGTGACCAGAGCATAAACGAATGGAACTTGTGTCAAATGGAACACGTTCTTCACTCGATGGACCTTTCCATGGAAGTTTCTCAAAGTTTTTGGTAAATGGAAAGTGCTCATAATGTCCACCCTGACACAAAATAAAAGCACACTCTCCACGCTTGCTATACTAAACCCATCCAGAAGCAAGTGAGGGATGACTCTACCGTCTTGCAGTTTATTTCAGTTATCTAAATTTATTATTCCTAACGTTTATTCTACTGATACCCTTTACTTTGGAAGGTTGTGAAGTTCCCTCTTACAAGATACGACTAAAATGCTGATAGCAAATAAAATACCTGCAAAACATCACTGAAGTCCAGAAGCATGTCTGCAATTGTGTCAAGGATTCCATAATATGTTACTCTGCATTTCACTCTTCTGCAGGGTTCTCCAGAAAAAGTAGGGTAGAGGAAGAAAAAATTATAGTAGGTGGCAAATTATTAGATTAAAATGAGTGGAATTAAGCCAGTTTCACGCTGATGAGCTCCATGTGGGGGTAGACATGGCTGGCGGTTGACCCCTGTCCCCGGGAAAATGTTTATTCTAGGGGCTCCGGAAAGTGCATTTCAGTACAGTTTAAGCGACCAGTTAAAGAATTTTAGTCATCGAGGTGGTACCTTCATTTACCTATACAATTTGCTTTATTTTTTATCATAAATCTGCTGCTGTTAAACAAAATGGCTCAGAAACAAATACTGCCGATTTATTCCCTTTAATTTCTTAGAAAATCATTTTGTTTGAGTAGCCACTGCTTCTGTGGCAACTATACAGCAATTTTTGGCAACCTGCTGGAGCTCCCATCTGGAGAACACTGTTCAGGTTATGCACATACTTATAGTATACGTGTACAGCTAGCTATATAGGGGAGGCAATCACCTATGATAAATATTATACCAGCTCAGCCACTTGATTCAATTTGATACTGTAAGCCTGGAGATGGCCTGTGACAAAAACTTTGTGGCAATAATAAAATGCTGAAGTCTATCTTTTCAATTGTGGATAGATTACTTGGAAAGTGCCTATGACATGATAGAGGTAATGAGACACAGATGCACAATAATTAACTGAACTGAGACACAAACAGAAATATCACCTGCACCACATAACATGAAGTTACGATTTTAAAAACTGATTTTTAAAGGATACGTGGTGTTCTCTCCGTTCTGCATACAAGATACAAGCACGCTGCTACAACATTGTTTATTCGCCGGCCTCTGGTGAGGCGTTTGTTTACTGCTAACTTGTAAAAGTTATATGCCGTGTCAATACAATGCTGATTCATCTGTAACTGATGACCAACCATATTTATTCTCTTCTTACCTAGAGGAGCAAAGTAACAGCTTAGACAAACCTATGTAAGGGTGTTCCCAGAGAGCTTTTTCAGGATCCAGGTTTTGCCTTTTTAGAAGGCTGTCCCAGTGAGAATATTTTGTGATCAAGCAAGGCATGATCACAGTACAAATCATGCCCAAGGTCACTGGCATGATCACTCCTTTTCTCATGATCATATGCTTTTGGGATAGCATTGTCAAACCATGATAGGAGTGATCAGACCTGTGATCAACCTCAGCTGTGATCACAGTTTACATTAGATGGTGTGCACACTGACCAGGGCCTGTAATTAAGAGCCGGGGGCCTGGGATTTCCCACGGCTATTATAAGTGTGGCCCCCAGCTGCATTAATTGAAAAATAGACGAAAAATAGTACCGAAATATATTCTTAGCTAATTGGTTCCCCACCTTGTATTATTTTACCAGGCAACTTGAAATTTTAGTGACAACCCTGATACTGCAACTTAAGCGCTTTACTTTTACTTATAATATTATAATAATTAAATATACTTTATTTTTGGTGTCTTAAGTTCTTTTGAAGAGGTATATTTTGCAGTGTTTCATAGTGTCCATGATCATGATTCTGGACTTGATTCTGATCCAATTTATTAAATAGGTTTCTTGGCATGATTAGATTATAGCACGGTTTACTCCATTATCAGGTTGTGATCAGATGTAAAAAATTTTTACCGGTGATCACGCTTTGTGATCACAGTTGTTCACACCTACATTTTTACTAGGGTGGGAATTGGGATTTAAGAGGAAGAGGGGAGCAAGAAATACATGCACTTGTAGAATTTTACGTAGAGAAGACTAATCTTGAAAGGAATTTGAAAAATAGAAATGCAAATAAGAAAAGGAAAACTTTCTTTGCATTAATGTCAAGGAAAACAGACATCTGTTAATTTGACCTCATCATCAACACAAGTTATCAAAATTTTTCTCCACTCAGTCACAGTTGTTTTGATTGTACCATTTTATTCCATCAGCTACATATGTCTGCCAGTCATAGATCTCTGAATATCAAGGAACCTAAAACCTCCATCAGACTCTTTGTAAAGCGTACATTGAGGTACTGTTAAGATTTGCTTTTATGTACATTTAAACCATATAAACTTTTGCCTGAGATTATGATTTTTATCCATTTAAACCACAGGATGATTTAAACGTCACTATAGCATTAAAATGGCCAGTGCCATTTAAAAACATGGTTTTCGTTCCTTACATGGGTCTGAAGAAAAAAAAAAAGGCGTGAGACTCACGCCTAAGGCGTGAGAGTTGGCAGGTATAAAACCAGAGGATGACAAATCATGCATTAAAATACCATTTTCAAAAGAGAAAAAAAATGCAACCACAAATCATTGATTCATTTTCAAGACCATGATTCTTGGCCAAGACCATGACGAAACCCAGAGCCAAGTCCAACACCTGTTTTGTTTCCTGGTAATAAATAAAAAAATACATGAGAATTTAAAGGGACACATGCAGTAAGCTATGGGACCGCGCTGACCTGGACACTACTTTAGCCAGTTTGAAAAGAGTTTACCTCAACCCAAAATCAAATCTACGCATCAGATACATCTAGAAATTCCCTTCAATCCTCCCTAGTGTTTCATTCAGTCCACGATCTTTAACTGAAAACCTCTTTTTGAGCAAACTTTTACTCTGACTCATCCTATAACATTATTTAGTCATATCTGGTTAAAAACAGTTTCAAAGGAATATGAACGGAAGAGGTGAGAAACGCATAGGCACCAGGCGGAAAAATTACCTTCATTTACCAAGGTAACAAGAGAAATGAATTTGTAACATTGGTGAGCGTTATCGTTATACCATATATCATGATGGTTATATATATTATTTTGGAAAATCGCTGGAAAAGGTTACATTATTTGGAAAATCAAGCTTTCTCGGCTTTGAACCTTCGACAATGATTCAGACTTTATGCAATTTCGCACTTCTACTGAAGTTCGAATTCGGAAGTATTTGTTGATGTTTGACTTTGTCTGGAAAAATCCATTGGTGAATTCTCAATGGTATATAAAAAAAAAATGAGTGCTCTGATATGGCTTAGGGTCTATAATCATGATTAATCGGCATGTATCTAGTTCAACTCTACAAGTTTTGTTTAGAGGATTCTGAATACGCTTCTCACTTTCTGTTTCATGCGCATCTTGTGACATGCAAATCAGCTGTGTCCCTTAATACTGATATTCATAACTACAGCCGACTCCCAATAATTTGAACCTTCAAGGGAAATAGAAACAAGTTTGACTTATCAGGAGTTCGAGTTATCAAGGGTAAAATTATATAGCAAAGGATCTGAAGGGAAATGAAAATTGCTTTCAGTTAGCCGGAGGTTCAAGTTACCGGAAGTCGACTGTACAACCTTTTCAGTCACTATTACAATTACTGAGATTTGAAATAAGTTATTCAAGTTATTATATCAAAAGAGAAAATTAAACACATAAATTAAGAATACCATAGGATTTATGAGAAAATAAACAATCATTATGGTAATTTGTAGTGAACGGAAACAGGGCAACCACCTTTTCTCCACGATAAAGTCAATCGATTGGAGAATTATATGTCACGTGATCTGCATGGCGCAATGGAGATCACATCTTTCTTCTTCACCAATTGCCCCGTCGCCTACAATAACGTCGTGGTTCAAACCCTACATGTTACTCGCGAACTTATGTGTAAACATCCTGTTTCCTAATTGACATTATTTTTTTTCCTTTTTCTTCTTTTTTATCCTAGCACAGTGATGTAAAATTAGTAAAAAATGGATGATTTTAGAAAGAAAATCAAACAGAGATGTTCAATACACGTGTACTGTCCTCACACTAAGACGAAGTTAAATGTACGAGTTTCTCTATTAATTTCGTCAAAAGAGTTCTTAAAAGTTCCAAAAGAGTTTTTGAAAAGTTCGTAGTTGAAAGAACTTTTCTTACCCTCTGACGAGACGAACTGTCCTATTGCACTAGCTCCTCCAATACTGTTCTCTTGAAACTGTACCTCGGAAATAATGATGTTGTCTTCAAGGACAGAACCGCATCCCATGCACACAGCATCACCACGAGCTTGATCTATATCAATGTCACTACCACCGCAATTCGAACAAACTTGAGACATGCTGGAGAAATTAATTTCTTACTGAATCAGAAAAATAGATCGACCACATCAGCCACCGGTGCTCTCCATTTTGACGACCGGAGAAATTGCGCTCACAAGGCCTTGTGGGTGATATTTTGATTAAGTTATGGGAGGGGTGGGTAGTGGCATTTCAACCTTTCAACGGGGTGAATGATCTAAGAAACGTCGTCCTTCTTGACCAGTGGGTCCAGTTCAACGAAATCTTTATTCAAAACATCTCTTTTATGATAAAAAGTATAAAATACATTGGAAGTTCTCCTCGCGACCACTCTTCTACGCTCTATTCTATTTGCGATCACAATTGCAGCCGTAGCGGAAACCAGGAGCCGATTCTGGTGAAACCCATTTGAAGGGTTTGAACTGTGACTTAATAAACTAAAAAAATGCTCTCGCAAGCGGCCAGTCTGGTCAAAAGAATTAAACCACCCTGACAACTACTGTGAATAACTGCCAGGTCTTTTCCTTTATATATTTATTTATTTATTGGCGCGGTTCTTGGGAACTTTCACGTGTTATGCATCGGTCAATTCCAGCAGCGCACAGCCCCCGGGGACCGGGCATTTGCAAACCCCGGGGCTATTCCCGAGCTTTTGACACGCGCGCGGTTTCCCATCAGAATATAACTACGCAGAGGATATTACTGGGAAAAAAGGAGATTAGCTCATCTGTCAAGGACAGGGGGTTGTAAAGGCATGTTCTCGATTCTATGCATGTATTTCTTCATTGCTTATCAAGCCAGAAATACATAGCGAAACTCGGGAGCTATCGACGTGAATCAACGTTTTTTGGTTAGTGAATCAAATTTCTGTTGATATTATTTGAAGAAGGAATATCCTTTCATAATAATAACTTATTCATAACATCATGGGCGTAGGGGGCGGGGGGGCGAGGGGGGCTGCAGCCCCCCCAAATTTTGGGCAACTCAGATTTTTTGGGCAGCAACAGAAAATTTGGGCGAAGCCAAGCTTTAAGGACGTTTCATGTTTTTTTATTAGTATTTTGGAGAGATAAATATTTTCTATTTTAACCTGAAGTCGGCGTAATAATCAAGTTACATTCACTCGAGACAGTGGTTGTCAAGCACGTGATGAGTTTCTGTTTATAAGAGAAGGGTTTTTTTATCGTTGGGCACTGGGCTGCAATGGGCTATTTCCAATCGGGAGTTGATTAGAATAAACTTCCGCCTAACTTTCTAGTATCATCTTCGCTCGTAGAACAGTGTATGGCAGATAGGATCAGCGATTGATCTGAAAGTGAAGAAGTGGCTGACCAATTCTCACTTTGAATTACGAGAAGAATCTTAATGTTTTTAAAAAAATCTATCAAGTGGTTCAAATTATTCACTAATTTGTTAAAGTAGACCGAAATGTTTACAAAACCGCTAACAAGAGCGCCATGATACATACTAATGAAATCCTTCTTTGTAGCAATTTTGAAATATCACTCGTGATATTTATGCCAAATATCACTACAAATCATGCTATTACCTATACAATGTACAAATAACTCACACACATTTTTAAAAAGATTGAACCTACTATGAGGTGAAATTGCATGTCAAAAGCGCTTCGTTTTCCACAAATAGCGGCTAAACATCAAGATTTTCCTTGTTTTACTGTATTTCTAACGATGAAAACTTTATCCCAAACTATCCCGATAACGCTCTTACAGACTCCGTTTTAACTTCACAAACACCGAGGCGACTATTGGAGGAAGAAGCCCCAGACAACGATTTCATATTGAGAAATAATGCTGCAAGTATAATAGGTAATGGCGTCATTTCGTTGCTATGACAACTCCGATGTCATTGCAACCCTGATCATGACAAATTTTCATCTTTATCTAATACAAGTGTGGTGGCAATTTTTCCAAATGTTTGTTTATGGCAAGGTATAGTTATGCTCAAACTTGGCAGGTATGTATTGACCCTGAAAAACTGTATTGCGGCACTTTCGTATGCCAGTACGGCCTATGTTGTTGCATCGTATGGCCCTTGTTTCTTCTGGACTGTTTTGTAAAAATTTGGGCAACTTGCAAGAATTTTTTGGGCAAATGGTTTACCGCCCCCTGGCCGAAAACTGCCCGTACGCCTATGCATAACATATAACTTTACAGCGCTCTTTTAATTTCAATGTCAATAATTTTATATCAATATTAAAACCTTAAACTAGTGCATGTCGTCGCGGCGTGAAGTCTTAATTGGAATCCTAGCGCTATTACAAAGGAAGACGTTACTTAAGACAAATAATGGCACATTAAAATGTTTAAAACGGCACTATTTGACCGTGCAATCAGTGAAAAATGCTGCCGTATTGACGGAGGACAGGGCATTTGCCCTCAGTTTCGTCCCCACCCCGGGGGATTTGACAGCTCATGAATCCCCACCCCCGGGAATTTGCCATCCACGGCAAAAAAAAGGCTAATGCCAGGGGGTCAGCCTGAGGGGGGCGGGCTGGGCGCAGCTGGAGTTGACTCATGCATTAGCATAATTTGCGCAAATCAAATACGCGTACAGTACCCAGGCCAGTTCGCACTATCCAAGTTACCAGAGGAGGCTTGGAACGTGCGATAGCGAATTTGCGAATTATCCCAACAAGCTTGACAGGTCACGTCACATCCGAAATCGCCGAGGACGATGGGAACGCAGGTGATACGCAACATTAAGATCCGTCTCTTGGATCCATAAACTTCCGGGATGCAAATATTTCACTTTCGAATCTTGACAATCAATCTATTTCCTTACTCGCTTGGAGGTATCGAAACATCTGAACTTATCGACATAAGGCAGAGATTTAATTTTCACTTGGTTGGCGAACTGTGTGCTGAATTGAAAGCTTTCGCAGTGAGTAGATCAAGATGTCTCTCACTGGATCGTATTCCTGCGCGAATGTCTCCGCGCCTACTACACTGAGTATCACTTCCGCTACAGCCTGTGGAGTACTAACGGTTACAGCTGTAACTGGAAATATCCTGGTTCTACTCGCCGTCATTATTGACCCAAATCGCAATCTACGCTCGCCTTTTAACTTCTTAGTGGCCAATCTAGCTGCCGCAGATTTGATAGTTGGTTGCTTTGCGCTGCCGATGTCCGTGGAAGCCTACACTCTCGAGGCATTGGGTCGTTGGAAGCTCACTCCTCGAGTTCATGCAAGGCGTGTTTTGTATTTCATATCTTGCACTGCGTCACTGTTCAGCTTGGCCGCCTTAACTGTGGATCGATTCGTTGCTATTACTTACCCGATAAAATACCGTATTAAACTGAACTCTCGTCGAACTGCACTGATTTCCCTCGGATTATGGATAATCTCAATTTTACTTCCATTTCTGTATTTCAAGGTGGGCTACTTGAAGTATCAGTTCGTCTTCGCAAACACAGCGGTAGTTTCTACATTTGCAGTACTTTGCCTGACTTACGCTAAAGTCTTTCAGAATTTCAAAAAGCAAATCAAGAATTGGGACTCGCTGCACGGCGGCCCAGACAGTGAAAATCACGCAAAGATGAGGACAATGAAATGGGAGAAGAAGGTCACCAAAACCTTTCTAATCATGTTAGTACTTTTTATTAGCTGTTTTTTCCCTTCACTGCTCATGATCTACATTATAAGTTTTTGTGGAACCTGCGACTGTATATTCATTCACTGGGCAAGAGATTTTAACTACGTTTTAATCATGGCTAATTCCAGCATAAATCCTTTTGTGTTCGCTTGGCGTCTTCAACCTTATCGGAAGGCGTTCACTGCAATTTTAACTTGCCGAGGGCCCATAAGAAAACTGCGTTCGCTGTCAGAGCAGATGACCATTTCTTTGAATTCATTAGGTCCACATTCGCAGAATAGAGGCAATGGAGCGGAGCTGAGCGGGGTAGAAGTCGAATGATGTTCGATGATGTGAAATACCGTGTAACCACATGTATTCTATTTTTAGATCTTGGATCTGGGCGTGTGATTAGACTAGACAGAAGCCAATAAGACGCTTATTCTTTTCTTTGTCATGCAGGATCATGGCCGCGTATGGGCAATTAGATTTCAAACAATAGTTTAAATGAAATTAAAGGGTAATAGTAAAGCATTTGTTATCGGCTTCTCTAAGGGGAGATGGGGGGTTGCGCAGGCTAATGCGGGGACTTTACTGAAGCCCTGTCCACAATGATCACGTGTTCACCCATCGCGCCCGTCTCCCGCTCCACGCCGGCGTTGCGTTTGCCTCGTTTTTTTTTATGCATTTTGTAAGTAGAAACAAAAAGACAGACCGGCAACTAATCGAGGAAAATTTGAAATGAAAATAAAAAACGATTTGTTAAAAGCTAGTTTTACATCTCCCAGAAGGATTGCAATTTTGGAATGGGATTTTTAACTGTAATTGATAGAAGCCCTCAGCAAATGCCATCGTGGGGCATGATAGAGCGATTGAGTGTCTAGCAATCGACAAAATCACGATCCAAAGTACTGGCAGGAAATTAAAGCGTTCTTGTTACTATGCCTGTTAGCATTAATATCTTTATATATGTAATAATTGCCGTTTCTGTTTGACAAGATAAAGCTAATGAAATAAAAGTTAGGCCTTTTCTGTTTTTGAAATACTTTATTAACTTTTAATAATTGAGGCTCAAGCAAACTTTTTACCTAAAACTATCTCAATTATCTAGTTGCAGCCTCAATATGAATTCCTCCTTAGTAACAGACTTGTTTGCTGACTTAGCGCACGTAGACTACCAAGACATCTGCCTCTAGGACATTCTCTGAAATAAAAGGTTTAAACAGCGAGAACATAGTTGAGACCTGAAAGGTAGCCTGTTCAAGGCGTTCAGTTAGTAGAGCGCGGCGTTCAAGATGGTAGGGAGCGATTGTACGCGTGAAAAAGGAGACGAAAAAAACGTGCTTTTTTCCTCGTCAATTGTTCACCCTCGCATTACCATCTGAACTCTGAAACAGTTCAGTCTGAAAGGCTTTTTGCTGTACAAGAGTAACCACAAGGCTGACAAGTTGTATGGCCATTTCCGAGTTTCAAACACTCTCACCTTCAAACTCGGGCTAAAGGTACCGTAAAATGGACAACAAAATCGTGCAACGTAATTTATTTGCAGCACTGCTACAAAATGAGTTGAAAAGCAATGTTGAGCATTTTACGACCTACGTTCAAACCTGTCTTGCAGCAAATGAGGTTGCCACAGATTGCGAAAACGTGTTGCAGAAATTAGAGAGTATTTTTACTTTTTGCAACAAAATCTGTACATGTCGCGCGTTTTACCAGCTCAAGGCAAACTTGTCTTGCCGCAAGTGACGCAAATCCGGTGTAAAGCGTGATTCTCGCGTAATTTTATCCGATCAGAAGTCATGGGTATTCACGCAATTTGCAGCAGCCTGATTTGTTGCAAGACAGGTTTCAACGTCAGTGGGTGGTAAAAAAACTTGTTTGCAGCAGTTTTGCAAAACAAGTTGTTGGTTATCCGTTTTAACGAATGAGAATAAAAACTATTTTCACACTTATGACTTTGTAATTAGCCTCGCTTTGAAATAGAGGCTTGGTTCAACTCGGAAATTGCCTGTTGGGCAAGGGCCGAGCTCTTTACCAAATCAGGGTCGTTCTGAGAAAAGAAAGAAAGCCGAAAAGAAATACTAGACTGGCGGAAAATAAGCGATGGTTCTTAAAAGGACAACCACCAAAAGTCTGGTAAATTGGCTTATTTCTTTCGAATATAATATTAACAAAAGACGCCTACTTTTCAAACGTCGGTTCCTACAAAGAAGCCACATGAGTTATGCCTTTGGGTACCCCCTATAATAGCCAATACGGGGAGGTTCCGCCCGAAAGGGGTACCACTTCAGGCTTGAGGTATATGATAGAGTCACTGGGATATCACTTGTTGAAGTAGATGAAAGGGTAGGGAAATCTGTCATTTCGGTCTGTAAAAAGATCCAAAAATTAAACGACTAACAGATGCATTTATGGCTGTGCCAAGGTCGAGAACACTTTCTGGTTTACTCATATTTAAAAGACAGTGTATTTATGGCAGTTAAAAGGAAAGCAAAGTTCTAAACTAGACATGTGAAAGGGGTACCATTTGTCAATAGAGGGTATACGAAAGCAGTAGGTATATTTAACAATTATTCCTTGAGCCCGAATGGGCTCTGAGTCAATTCGGCCTCATGGGCTATTGACTCAGAGGCCAGGAGGGCGAAAGGAATAATTTTTTTAGTAAAATTCAACTAAGTTTGTCAAAAATATCGAGACAAAACAACTTTAGCTTGTTAAAGCTAGACATTAATTCTTTTTTTGCTGCCAAAATGCCAGCGCTTTACGCTACTACTGGGCTATAACATATAGCCTAGTAGTAGCTCAACCAATCAGAACGCAGCATTGATAATAGACCACTAGTTGGATTTTACTATAAAAGGGTCAGAGGTTGGACCTCAGGCCGGGCGGAGCCTTTCCGTCTAAAACTTTGTTGAGTACCCACCCCTCTCCTGTTGTTGATGCTAGTAGTAGTCAAAAGGCAGAAAACAAGGGAGTAGAGGTCGGGTAAATGTTGGTTGAGACGGGAAACGTTTATTGTTGTCCATTTTAAGGTTGTTACTCACCATCTTCGTTCCAGTTTGTATAATTCGAAAGCTTGCTGTACAGTATGGCGTTCTTCTTATTCATCTCCCAATCGCAGTGCTCCAGTTCAGTTATCACCATCCATCCTGCATCGTTGGGACAACTGCGATAATTCCGGTTGATAAAGAAGCGACGTTTATCACGTGTACTGTGCACTGATCCATAGATGGAAAAGTAGTTGTGAGGCTCACTTGGAATATCAAACCAAGAGCTCTGAGTCAGAGCCGAGCAAGAGAACCAGTTGCTGTTGTTTGATCCTGAAGCGTTAAATTTCAACTCCTTTTGTAGCTCTCCGCTTGTATAGAGAGCAACTCTAGCCTTTTAAAATCACAAACAAATCAGTTAGGTTTAGGTTTTACAAGCTTTTCTGGGCACAGGCCTGCCCAGAGGGAATAGGCACGATCGGGACTCATAGGTCCCATGCAAGGTGCCATCCCTACCCAATCCCACAACCCGTAAAGGTTGGCCACACCACCGGGGTCTACGTCCCCCAGTCTTTTCAAACAGTAGTGTGGGTTCTTTTACGTCCCACAAGAACAGATCAGTGAAAGTGCCGTGAGACGGGACCTACGGTTTTTCGTCCTTATCCGAGAAGACTAGAAAGACTAACCATTTGCAGATGTCATTAAAAAGGCAGCACTTTCTTCTTAGTTATTTAAAGACCCTAACTATTGGTCCGGCCGGGGTTTGAACCCGCGACCTCCCGCTCAGCAGACCGGCGCTCTCCCAACTGAGCTAACCAGGCGGCGGTTCTAAACTTTATAAAATTGAGATTTGCGTGTGGCGCAGGACACGTTTTTGTACGTTTCCTCGTTTATATGGAGAAAACCTATTCCGGGTAGAGGGACACCCTTCCAGCCGAGTCAATTTTAGCGAGCGTATGAAAAAAGTTGACCCCTTCGCCCAAGGTAACAAAACTCGCGCATGCTCTGATTGTCTCTGCACCTTGACCCTGATGATCCGACTGGGCTAGTGTTTACATGGAAGTTGGCCCCGGCTAGGAATGGTTTCCCTGTCATCGTAAAAGGTTGACTTGCTAACCGAGCCAACTTTTATGTTTTTTTTTTATGTAATCGGTTCGCTACGTTTTGTAAGGAAAGGCATATGAAGCGTTTGCTCGCCCAGGGTAGCTCGAGTAGGCGAGTGACTCTTCTGCCTGGAACATCATTCCTCTGTAAATAAGAGGCCTAAAGGGAAATCGGGAATACTATTCAAGGGAGGTGGTGACTGGGTGGGGGATAAGCCCAAAGAAATTACCTCGGATGGTTTAAAATCTTCCCAGTTTAAAACTATTCTGTTCTTGTAGTGTTCGGGGTGCTTTTTAGTCACATCAAGAGCGTCCTCCACATCCTCGGTGGAAGTTTCAGCAGAGGTGTAAAGTTTATAGCCATTTTCCTCTCTGGTCACAGCCTTAAACACCATTGTCCAGCCTGTAAAAATGAAAAACGGAAATGGTAATCAATGTTAAGTCGCATGACAGAATCTGATGTTATTTATGCTTTATGGGTCAGTCACAGTTCCAAGCGTACGTCCGCATCCTCCTCCCCCCTCCCCCGGGGGACATTTGTCATTTTTTGGAAAAGCTGCAAATGCCCCACGGTGGGGCCGGGCGGTTCATACATAAACCAAAAACAACATGTATATTTGCTAATTGAAACGAGTGAAAAAAAAACTAAAACAACTGTATCAGTCACTCGCCTCCGTTGTCCATATCGCAGTAAACTTGGAAAGCCTCGTCTTCACCTGTGAAAAAGCAATATTTGAAAATCAGCTTTAATCAGGTTTGTGTCAATGAACTTCAAGGGACTAAGTAAATGAAACTGGGGATCGGTTCTTGTCCTTTTGAATGGACAAGTGTTAGTTATGATTGGTGGATGGTATTCAAGGCAACCATTAACCAATCATAAGTAACGCTTGTCCAGCCAAACGATCCCAGAATTCGTTGTACCGGAAGCTTGTGCCCATTCCCCTTACAGTCTCTGGAGTAGGGAATTGGTTTCCCAAGCACTTATTCACTTCATAGCCATTTATTCGGCCGATAGTGCTATCCAACTTTTAAACTACCGTAAATCCTCTATTAACCCCCCCTCCCCTCAAATGTGTTTGAAATAAATAAGCCCCCGGGGGGCTTAATAGAGGTTTACGGTACTTGGTTCGGAACTTAACTCTCAGCTCAAGATCTGAGTTCTACCCTTTAGTTTGATCCAGTAGATCCCATTTGCGCTATCTTCTCCTTTGCGATCCTTAATATCTTTGCAGGAAGAACCCGGATGAGACTCGTCCCCATAATCTCTGTATAGACTCCATTTGCCCCCGTGCATCTTACGTTGGCCTTTTAGATGTGCTGGACAATCGCAATTGACGCCCTGGTCAGAATCAGCGAGATACAAAGCATTTGCCACGCTGGCGGTAAAAATGACACCCAATGCGAGAATGTGCTTCATGTTTCTGCTGAGATCAATAAAAGAAGTAAATTAAGGCCGAGGAAGGCAGAGGAATACTGAAAAGGTTTTTCATGGGGATTCTCCGCCCAGAGCTTAGCCCTTACCCTTTCATTTACTCATATTTTAATAGACAATAGTCGTATTCCCCGACCGTCATGGGACGAGTAGGTCTTCAGCACGAATCGGCAAAGCTAATACGGGGAACTTCTCACTAAGAGGACAAACAAACATGAGAAAACTACGACTGAGTTGTCGGAGATCAAGGAAAATGTTTAACATTGGAAAATTCCGGAGAGCTTACAGGCTTAAGGAATCATTATTTTAAAGAGCAAAAAAAAGATCTGCTCGTCATTGCTGAGAAAAACAGCACGCCTAACCAGATATTGGAGTGGTTTGTGAGCCATTTTGTAAGAAATGTTGAGATGGTATCAAAATCCCTGAGGATTTTTTATCTTAATTCTTTTTGAACGATATCATTTATTGACATGGACGTACTTGTCGAAACTCGAAAGCCTACAAGAAAGTAAAAACACCTATTTTGCAGCTGACATTTCTAACGGAGCGGATACAAAATCTTGTGTATTTTGAAATAAACCGAACAAATAAGCTCGGTGGATAATTTCTGCCAGGACAGGGCTCAGCGTTCTGCACGCAGTCCTTGCATTTATGTTAGGAAGTTAAATCAGTTTGAACACTCGACGATGACTTGAAAAGTAAAGTTCATTCATAAATTTGGGTTTTATACATTTTTTATCAAAATATTTGCTCACAACTGGGTACGAAACATGACAAAGCATGCGCATTTTACTCGACAAGAAGTTAAAGTCGGACTTTGGTACAGGCGATGATAATGAGCAGTTTAAACTCCATTTTACAGATAAACACACAGGTAATTAAGAAGAATAAAAAATGAGAAATTAAAAGGATTCGAATATTGATATTTTGACACAATTTACCGGCCATATTCGATTCTAGATTACTTCCAGTAGCTTCCTCTTTTGGCTTCGTGGCTTTTTAAACTTTATTGTTAGTACGACCGGCTCTTCCCACAGTTTTATGTTTTTGTTTTCCCAATGTTTGTTTGTGTCCTTGGCAAGAAGTTCCCCGGATTAGCCTCGCATTCACGCTCAAGGCCTACTCGGCCTACTCGGACCGTCGGGGAATGCAGATATTGTCTATAGGTACCTCTTCAATAAAGCCCCATTTAAAAAACAGGCGACTCATCTTACAGACGATGGAAATGACATCAAAATCTTCATAACTCAACTGGAACTAAGAGCCGTAGATCAGAAAAACGCCTTGTCAAAATTCCGACAGTTAAGTAAAAACTGAGAACAACCGACAAAGGAAGTTGGTTTGACATTCTTTGTCAGCACATTTAGAGACCAAGAAAAAGCGAAACATAGCTATCATTTGCGGAACTGTGGGCGTTTCCTATGACAACAACAACAACACAACATAAGCTTTATTTGCATGACTATTATTATGTAGTTACAGTATTGCAAAAGCTTTAACATAAAGTTACAATTTATAACAATGACAATGCAATGCAATGATTACTACAGTCAATCAAGTGTCATCAGCATGATTTGATAACAAATTAGTACGTAAATCATTACATAATGAGACAAATTTCAAAAAATGTGAATTTACGGAAAATTCTGTGAATTCATCAATTTAATTATTAATTCTGTGTAAGATAGCTGATTAAAGTCGACAAAATTGTGTTAGCTTTGATTGTAGAATTTCTCCCTTGGGATTGAATATTTTGAACAATGGAGGAGAAAATGAAATTCGTCTTCAATTATACCAGAGTTACAAATAGGACAGAATCTCAGGCGCGGATCTAGGATAAATACTGACCGTTTTCCAAAACGAGCGTGGAAGGCGTAAGCTTCTAGGGGGGTCCGAGGCATGCACCCCGTGAATTTTTTTTTTTTTTTTTTAACTCCCCAAAGTCGCTTTTCCTGGGTGTCTGAGTCATTCAGTCAGGATATTGGCCGGATTTTAACTTGGAAAGTTTTTTTTCATGAAAATTTATTTATCTATGAAAACTCTGACCGATTTTCGTAAAACGGTGGAAACCGGTGTGGATCCGCGCCTGAATCTATCGTACACAATTCCGAAAGCGACGCCCAGCATTAACTTACCACCGAAAAGGGACATTTTACTGAAAATTCAGCAAACCGAGACGGAACCCTCCACGGGGCCCTCCCCGGCAGAACAGGTAACCCGAGATAACAGGTAGAGAGCATTTTCACAGACGTCACGGCGGTCATATTGGTGTTTAAAAACAATGAAACGGCGGCCATGATGGTGTTCCAAACAAATCCTTTGCTAGTTGAACTCTTTTCTTATCCAAACGTTTTCTTTTGTACCAGTGAATTTAAATAAAACATTCAGGACCTTATCACATTTCTGAATATCTGCCAGTTGGTGAAAATGGGGTACCATAATTGTCTTTAAATTGATCTAAACGGGGGATTATTAATCTTTGATTGAACTGAATCAAACGGGGAACCATGTATCTGTAAATTGACGCAAAAAACGGGTCATTTTATAAGGTTCTAACTCTCTGTAAAGTGACACAAAAGGGGTACTATAAAATCTCTGTAAATCGACTGCTAAAACTCCAAAACCCGGGATACGATAAATTAACTATAACAGGTCAGAAATAAGATACCGGTCTCCAAATGTTGTCTCCAAATTAAAATTAAGCCAAATTAAGGATCAGACATCGGAGAAGGCTAAAAGAAAAACATTGGATCTAAAAGTAGTGCGTAGTCATCCTGATGAACTTATATGGGGGACGTATAAAGTACGAAAATGTTAGAATGTAACAAAAATTTTCCACGTGTAGGAGAAAGGTTTTATTTTCGTGTTTTTCATATTTTGTTTCTGTTTAATTTTCTTTTTTCAAAAAAAAAAAGTGATCGAAATACTGCACCAGCAACTAAATCGATACAATTATGGAGCGCAAGTTCTAAGGACATTTAAATTTCTGAGGACATTTAGGAAGTATCCAAATCGTAAGCGTTCAACCTTTTGATGTGACAGAGTGAAAAATGCCCCTCAAGAAGAACGCATCAAAAATAAGTTGAATGGGTGTTTTTTTTTTAAGGAGCTAAGTGAGTGTTGAATGTGTTAAAAAAAAAACCGAAATTCGCATGAAGTAAGAACAATTCTTAGATTACCAGCTTCTAACGAACTGAATAAATTTACCCTGCCAAAAAGAAGAGTTCTGGACTACACAAACGTTCCCTGCTATGGGATCCACGTACTGCTAACACAATGAACGGTGTAGAGATAACATCAATGTGCTACGCGATCTCGAGCGATCGCATGATCACTAAGCCATACACTGTTGATTAGACGGTGATCTCATCACTCAGTTTCAAATTTCAGGCTCTTGTAAAAGTCATTTTTGCCAAAATGACTGGATTAAGTGAAACAGAGGGTGTAAAACAAAACTGGTTTAAAATAAAGATTTTTTGTAAACTTCGAACGAATTGACGCTAATTTGTCCTGCCAAAAAGAAAAGTTGTCTGCTGCACAAAGGTTCACTGCTGCGGTATCAAACGGACTACTGTTACAAGAGGTGAACACCCACTGGAAAATTGGAACCATATACGGAGTAGAAATCCAGAATTTTACAGACCTGCTGCTTTGACCTGCTTTGATACAAAAATATTTTTTTATATTCGTTTTACATACATTTTATACAATTTAGTTGCCTTATGAGATGGCTTCGGGTCAAAAGAGGATTCTGTCACCAGTATATAAAGCGAGGACTTAAACAAAATCTGCTTAGAATGTTTGTACATCCTGGTCGTAAATCTTCTATTTGCAAAACAACAAGTGGATTAAGAAATCCCTGTAAATTGTGACAAATGGGTCACCATAATTCTCTGTAAATTGACCCAAACGGGTGATCATAAATCTTTGTAAATTGATCAATCAAACGAGCCACAAACAAACAAACAGGTAATTCTAATGTTCTTAATATCTGTAAATTGACACAAAGAGGGGGTATCATAACTCCGACCTTGCTTATTGCCAAAAAAAGGGCACCATAAAATCTCTGTAAATACTTGTAAATGAACCCATGCAAAAGAGGCAACATAAGATGTCTGTAAATTGACAAAAGAGGGTCGATATCAGCCTGCAACAGTTGGCTCGCCAAGAAGTAAAAACGATCAGTCTTCAAGTGTTGTATATCCAAATCGAAAATCCGATCAATCCGCCTTATGCCTTTGAGTGTGTATTAGAAGCTCCTCTCTAATAAACGCCCCTTGTCTTATAGACAATCCCAGGAGCATTATTATTATTCAGTTTCTTTTCTGATTAGCAAGAGTTTGCGCATTGCAACTTGTTCAACGTCAATTCAAAATAACGATTCTGACATGGAAAGTTGAGGTTTATAAAAACACATTGATCTAAACGGCGTAATGGACTATGGTCTGCTATTTATATACTGTGGTGATATACTTTGTATTCGCAAAATAGTTTTGTGGAGTTCTCTCTTTTAAACGCCCCTACTTTGGCTCCGAAAATTAGATACACGCCCCGGGCGTCTAATAGATCATTTACTGCCTAATTTTTTTGACTGAGTAGGAAATATCACTGTAGAAGGTAGCAACCAAACAAAACCGAATTGAATGAACAAAGAGCTGCGTGTGATGAAACCCCGAAATTCTCATTAACTAAGAACATTTCGTAACTTACCAAATTCGGCCAAACTGAAGCAAATTTGCTCTGCCAAACAAAAAGGAGTTCACTGTTGTGAGATGCACGGACTCAGGGGCGGATCTGCTAACTCTGAGATGAACGTGCAAAAAAAAAAAAACTATGTGGAGAATTGGTGTTCTAACCAGACAATACCCCTCCTAAAAAAAATCCTGGATCCGCCCCTGGGACTGCTAACTCAATGAGCGTCAGAGAAAATCTTAACCAGCAATATACTATGCGATCGCATGGTGACTGACTTGATTAGACAGTGATCCCATCTCTAACAGTTTCAAATTTCTGGTTTGTAAAAGTGAGATTACTAATTCTTTTTCGAAAGAAGAGGTAAGTGAAACAGAGGCTGTAAAATAAAACTGTCTTGAATAAAACACGGGTGCTTTGATGGATCATGAAATTGATCCAAGTGATCTCAAATCACTGATCCTCACCCGAATCATCCAAAAGGAACGCCCCCATAAATTATCTCTAAACTGCAATTGATCCTTATCTCAGGGAGAATAGAGAGCAAGAAAATGATACGCCTACTTGCGTAGACAGTAATTATTGTTCAAGGACAATTCCACGTGATCTTTAGGTAAAACAAGGGGGACAAGACATTCGGGACCGTATTGCATTTCTTAACATCTGCGAGTTAGTGACAAATGGGGCACCATAATTGTCCGTAAGTGAAACGGTAGTCTGCTACACAGCCGTTTTTAGTGTCGTCACGCAACGTGACGACACTAAAAACGGCTGTGTAGCAGACTAGTGAAACGGCGGATTATAAATCTTTCTAAATTGAATCAAAGGAGAACGGTATATCCATAAATTAATACCAAAAAGGGTCATTATAATGTTCTATTAAAGTCTCGAAATTTAAACACAAACGGGGTACTATAAAATCTCTGTAAATAGACCAATAAAACTCCAAAAGCTGGTACAATAAAATAGAAGCAAATTGACAAATACAGGTCATTATCTGCCTGGATTTGACCCGCTTAGAAAAAACAATAAGATACCAGTCTCTAAATGTTGTATCCAAATTAAGGATCGGATGTCGGAGAAGGCAAAAACAAAAAAATTGGATTTAAAAAAAGTGCGTAACCATAAACTTGAACGGGGGACGTTTAAAATAGAAAATGTTACTAAAGCAACAAAAATTTTCCACGGGCAGGAGAACGGTTTACTTTCATATTTTCTGTTTTATCTATTTTTTTTTTTCCAAAAAAAAAAGAAGTGATTGGAATTACTGTAAGCCTACAATGTCAAAAGACTGCCCATTCACCATCCACTAAATCGATACAATTATGTAGCGCAAGTTCTCATTTCTGGGGGCATTTAGAAAGTATCCAAATCGTAAGCGTTCAACCTTTTGATGTGACAGAGTGAATAATGCACCTGTTGAAGGATGCATCAAAAATAAGTTGAATAGATTTTTTTTGGAGTAAGGAGCTAAGTGAGTGTTGAATGTGTTAAAAACCCGAAATTCTTATAACGTAAGAACAATTCTTAACTTACCAACTTCTAACGAACTGAAAAATTTGCGCTGCCAAAAAGAAGAGTTCTGGACTACAGAAACGTTCCCTGCTGTAGGATCCACGTACTGCTAACACAATGAACGATATGGGGATAACATCAATATGCTACGCGATCGCATGATCATTAAGCCATATGCGCTTGATTAGACTGTGATCTCATCGACTCAGATCAGTTTCAAATTTCTGGCTCTCTAAAAGGAGATCCTTTTTCCCAAAATGACCGAAGTAAGTGAAACTGGGAGCATAAAACAAAACTGGTATAAAATAAAGATCGTTTGTAAACTTTGAACGAATTGAAACTAATTTGTCCTGCCAAAAAGAAAAGTTGTCGACTGCACAAAAGTTCACTGCTGCGATATCAAATGAACTACAAATACAACAAGTGAACACCCACTGGCAAATTGGAACCATATACAGACAAGTACAAGTCCTGAATTTTACAGACCTGCTGCTTCAACCTGTTTTGATGCAAAATATTTGTGTATCCGTTTCACATTTTTGTTGCCTTATTCTTTGGGTCAAAAGAAATTAGAATTCTGGCAACACAGTGGCGGATCCAGACCTTCAGATAAGGGGGGTGTCCGGTCATCCAGATCCTGAGATAAGGGGAGGGGGGGCGGCCTCCAAAAAAATTTTTTCTCAGTTTGCTTCAGTTTAGTCTAACAACAGCGGGTGATCCGCCACTGCAACAGTATAAAAACAGTGGCGGATCCAGATCAGATGGGGGGGGGGGGTGCCCGGTCATCCAGATCCTGAGATAAGGTTGGGGGGCGGTTTCCAAAACATTTTTTTCTCAGTTTGCCTCAGTTTGGTCTAAAAATAAAGGGGGGCGGGCCCCCCGGGACCCTCACCTAACTCCGCCACTTCAACAGTATAAAAAGCAAAGACATACAACTTTTAGACTTTAACAAAATCTGCTTAGAGTGTTTGTACATGCTGGTCGTAAATCTTCTATTTGCAAAACAACAAGTGGATTAAAAAATCCCTGTAAATTGTGACAAATGGGTCACCATAATTCTCTGTAAATTGACCCAAACGGGGGATCATAAATCTTTGTAAATTGATCAATTCAACGGGCACAAACAAACAAACGGGTAATTCTAATGTCCTTAATATCTGTAAATGGACACATAGGGGATATCCGATAACTCCTTGGTTATTGCCACAAAGGGGGCACCATAAAGTCTCTGTAAATGAACCCCACAAAAGACAGCGGCACCATGGCTATACTGTGCACTGACAAAAAAAGGTAATTATCAGCCTACTCAGTTGGCCGTGATTGAAAAATATCCAACTTAAAGATCTTACTTTTGTGCATGTATGGTTCACCGCTACATGCACATTCTTCAAGTATGAATTGACCCGTTTTTGCTTAGTCCCTCTCAAGAGATCATGATCTCTTGTCCCTTTACAGCGTCTTCAGTCCCAGGCCTTTAACCATGTGACCCGAAGCGCATAGACCGCGCGGAAAAATGAGTCCTAGAGACTAGGCAAGACCCGTTAATTAAACCGTGTTTTTAAAGGTTCTCCTTCTGATTCTGCTAAGATCATTTCCAGTGTATGTATTAAAACAAGTATTCTTTTAAATTTAGGCCATAATGGTTTTATTCTTTACCCTAACATAACCTTTATTTTAAGAGGGTGACACCAATTACTAATTACTATGAAAAGTATTCTCCCTAGTGGCCCTCTAAAAACAAAAATTGATAATAATAAAATTACAACAATCATGATAAAAAGCCTATTTACAAATACTGATTATAATAGAAGATCTTAAAAATTCTAGTATTCTCCCTCCTTAGTGGCCCTCTAAAAACAAAATTGATAATAATAATAATAATAATAATAAAATTACCACAATCATGATAAAAAGCCTATTTACAAATAGAGATTATAATAAAATATCTTAAAAATTCTAAAGATTTAAAAAATTGAGAGTTGTTAAAAACGGTGAATACACTGGTAAAAAAAGGGAATCCAATCCACAATGATATTTAAAAAAGCACGGATTTTTTAAAACTCAGAATAACTTTTTAAGTTTAAAATTGTCCACCGTATAGTTTGAGGCGGCGTTATTAGTCAGTGTCTTCATTAAGCAAAAGGAGGTAAATTCCATTCTGATCTGAAAATTCGCCACTATTCATTGCTGTCAAAAGCCAACGCCACTTTTTTATTTCGATAATATACGTGGAATTCTTTCTAATCAAACTCAAAGTGTCAAGGGGTAATGGGATTTGAGCGAAGAAAAGGAGAACTAATGCGGAATTTCACCCTCTCTTCACAGACAGTTCATTTAAAAGTACATGAAATGTCTTATTATATGTTCTTAATCAAGAGTAATATTTTGGACATGTCCTATTTTCGTTACAATAGATCGGCCACTACAGGTAGGTCACAGTCGCATAAAACGTCATAAAGTTCCCCTACAGACAGGTAACGCTGATTTGCGATGTAACCAATCAAAGCTTCAGCTGGGTTCAGTGTGCGTTTATCGAGAAAACGAATTTCTGGTGGAGTAAAACCCAGTTTCTCAGCAACAAGCTTCCACTGGTCTCCTGTAACATAAGAAAAGGAGAAAGGAAAGTTATCCTAATTTTCTCTCTCCCCGCCCCAATTAATCTCTCCTCCTTTTTAAAGATAAATTGGCATAATTTGACTCTTCCGCTCATTGCGAGTGACTCTGACGATAGTCTGCGTAGTACGACGGTTTTGTCAGGAGCACTACTGAGCGGCGAACCCGCAAAAACGCGCGCAAAGCGCGCGCTTTCTCTGCCTACGCCCGCCTTTATTACTTTGCGTGCCCAACCCAAACCGCCATGTTACGCAGGCTACTCTGAGAAAAAAAAGACGACCGCTCGCGATCTACCCTAAATGCGCGTGAACATACTTTTAATCAGAAGGTGTCTCCATTTTGTACCGAAAAAGTGGAAATCGCCTTAATTGCCTTTTACCCTAGGTTCTGATTTACCTAATGGCTCAGTGCTTCGATTCGTTAATATAAAGTAAGCCTTGTGCATAAAGAAAAATGTGTTTTTAACTATAAGGTTCATGGAGCGTGGCTCGGATTCATTAATATAAAGCAAGCATTGTGCAGAAACAACAGGAATGGTGGACATAACCAATAACTGAAGCCCTGTCCACACGTATCCGTATTCATTTGAAAACGCAACTTTTTCTCTCCGTTTTCAAAAAAATTTGCGTCCACTCGTAGCGTTTTCGCCCGTCCACACGTATACGCATTCTCGACCACAGTGGTTACGGGGAATGCGCGCGCAAGCTCTGGGAAACTCTGCGCTGGCGTAGCCAAAATCTGATTATTTGGGTCTCACAGCGCATGCTCTTTCGTTTCAACAAAAACTTTTTTCTTCTTTTCTGTTAGTTTCGTGCTGCTTCGGAATTAGAACTGAAGAAATTAAGAGAGCCCTTGAAGAATACTTTCGATATATTAAAATTTAGCATGATAGCGAGTCTTAGAGGACACAAACAAAGAAAATGAATAAATATGAATAATCATGGGTTATTCATTTTCTTTGTTTGTGTCCTCTAAGACTCGCTATCATGCTGAATCTTAATATATCGAAAGTTGCCTATTTTCAGGTATTCAAGGCTCTTGTGGTAGCTGCTGAGAAACTACCGTTAAAAGTTCACAGATTTGAGACTTAAAATTTGCATATGCTTGACAGTTGATTAAATATTTGAGTGGACTACTTCACGAAGCCGTAAGTGAAACCCGAATGGCTTGTTAAGATAAACATATAAAAATTCCAATAAAACCTTCCAAAATACGAATTTACGCTTCAGTAAAGAGGTAAAGCTACTTTGAAATGCGATATCGTGGGAAAAGAAGACAACTATAAATATCTAGTCGCATTGTAAACGCATCACTTTAGGGAACGATTTACTTTTTTAATTTACTTTTCCCTTGGAAGTCTGTTTTTGGGCAATTTACGAAATAAAGCTAAAGTTTTCATTCATACTCGGCTACTTCGTATGAATACCATAACGTGGAAGTCGAAGGAAGAACAGTTATGTGTCATGCTGTTTAAATTATACCTGGCAAAGGGTGTCGGTGTATTTTTATTTTATTTTTCACATCCAAATCTTTTTCTTGGTCAATTTTCGATTATATCTAAGGTATTTGATTTGAAAATTGGGGAATCCAGTTATTCTGCCTAATAAGTTGTGCAAGTGTTGTTTTGGAATGGCTGAAATCAAGAATCGGCCGGACGTGTTTACTTCAACATTTCTAGGGAAAAACCCGCTGACACGCCAGACACGCCGCATGTTCACCCGCTCTCGTTCAAACTTGAATGCACTAATCAGAAACACTTTTATTGTTTTTCGTTGAAAACAATCAGAGACAATCTTGTTCCAGGGTTCCCCAGAGCTCTTCCTCCCTGGCCTTCATGCGCAGAAGAGCTGTGGGGTCGAGATTACACGTATACGATCAATCGATTTAAAAACGATAACTTACCCGACTGCGCATGCTTGACGCGTACATGTTCGCTATTATGAGCCCGCGAAATGATAAATTGACGCCATCTTTGAATTTCTTTGCGGTGGGTATATATTGTTGTGACGTTCTTCAAAGTCGCAGAAACAGTTTTAAAAAAAACAAACTAAAGGGAGATCCAACCTTGCACCTCTTGACACCTGTAGCTAAAGTAACCTGACAAAGTTCTGCCGCCTCCTGGAATAATCAGCTTGAAGAATTAACAAAGCTAAATTTGCTTGAAAACAAGCAATTAGGTTAGAAATAAGCCCAATGATAACAGACAAGAAACGGAAGCGCCCTTCCGCCACCTTCAATAAGTTTCTAATATTGTGCGGAGTGGATTGGAACTGATACTTTGTCCTCAGAGTTTTCGAAGAGTTCCGTTTGCGTTTGTCCACAGGTACACCGGAAAACAGCGTTTTCAAAAAGTTCCACTCCGGAGAGTGTTTTCGAAAAGTTCCGTTTTCATTGATCGTTTTCAGTTCACCGGATACGAGTGGATGGAAGTCGTATCTGTAAAGGAAAAGTTGTGTTTTTAAATGAAAACGGATACGTCTAGACATTGCCTGAAAGCTTTTTCAATCATACCACATGATAAAGCGATCGTCAGCTCCCTTTCCAAGGAGATAGGAATTCTTCGCACATCAAGATTTTCACGTAACAAAGGACCTAGAAAAAATTGATAAACAAGTAAGAACATTTCGGTCTATCCATAGTTTGAAAGTATATGGACAGATACATATACAGCGCAAGTAACTGCAATACCTACAAGTTAATATATTGACTTCACATATCTTGAAGGCGGAAGACAAAACTATAAAAACTGTAAAAACGCACTCGTCTTCCGAGAGTCATGCATTAATTATTACTGACTGATAAACACACCCGTTGTTCCAGCCGGTGTCATTTCTCTTAGACGAATGATGACATCAACCCTATTTGAAAGCTCAGCTTTCCTTGCGAAACAGCGAATCAATTGTTTAGTTTGGCAATCTGGCTGTTCAAGAGAGGACTGGTCCAATTGCAAACTTTCTTTTAACTGACAAATAACTTGCTCCGAATCACAAGATCCGGGCGTAAGGGCTTTCAAGACATCATCAGGGATAGCCATCGCCTTCTCCACATGTTCTACGAAATAAAATGGAGCACGTTTAGAGGTGTTTCAATTGTCATAGCCGAGGCGTGGGATCAAAACTAAGTGACTTTATGCTCCCGAGATCTATTTTTGCGTGTGTTAAGCACCCACACCGACATGAGCAAGAAACTGACGGTCTTTAAAGTCGTGGAACCATCTGTAAGCTAAACACCTAATCTCTTCAGTGGACTGGATGACGAAAGCTAGTTAGAGTCCAACCTCAGTGTGTACTTTTTTTCGGGTCAAAACGATAAATGTTTGATAACCGTCATGCAACCGAGCTAATCACGTATAATTAACACCACAGAGTATTTGAGTACCATGAGCAAAATAAGGTCTGGGGTTCTAATTCTTCGACGGAAAAACAAAAACGAATGCCTTCCCTGGGACTTAAACTCGCATAAAGTAGACTTGAATCCTCTGAAAAGTAGTATAATTCAAGACTAATGGGCTGATGGTCGAGTGATAAGTTTAATGGATAGTATTTTGCCTAAATTTGCTTTTTTAATACTTGTAATCAACAGACTAGACAATGCCATACTAAAATCTACCGTGTGTGAATAAAAGGTCAACTCCGAGTTGCCCCGAGGCCTCTTTCTCAAAACGGGCGCAAAAACGAAAATTCACTATGAACATATTTTCTCTATTTTCGTTCTATTAAAACTCATTGTTATTCTTCGAGAAATTCCCCTGCTAGTTCTTCAAAAAATCACGTCAATAGGACAGGCTATCGTACGGTTCTTATGCCTATCACCAATAGAAAGGAGAGGTGTGACATCATGTTCAATGGTAGGCAACCTTTCTTGAAAGAGACGGCCATTTTCAGGGATAAAGGAACGTGAGACATCAGTTAGTCCAGAAAAGTGTATCATATTCATCAATGTTAACGACGATGAGATTATCTATTTGGAAAACTTACTCATGCCCATCTTACGAAACATTCATTTTTTCCTAAATAAAACGCTTAACACAGGCGGTAAAGGTGAATAGAGGATATGCAATTCTTTTGTATTGCTTCAACAATTACTAGCTCAGGCCTACCTTCACTACCCGCAAAAAACTTTTCATCAACTTCGAGCTGTGAGAAAATAGATGTGAGAGTCGTTAACTAAAGGAACAATAGTTAAATAATTTGGCCATGGGTCGATGTGTTTTTACTTGACACTTTGATCCTCCCTGTTTTTAAGAATTTGAAAGCTCTAAGAATAAACCCTACATGGGTTGTAACTGATACACAAAATTATTGTCAACGACCGGCTACGCAGGCAGCACGAAATGACCGCCTGTTTTGGATTCCTCATCTTGAATGTATTATGCACAATCGGTAATGAAATCTAGGGTTAATTATCTAATGTTATAAACCCCATACAAGAAGTTGTAGCTTCGGTTTTATTAAAAAAAAAATTTGTACTGGTTGGTTGCCATGAAAAAAAAATGCATGGTCAAAGTTAGAGAAGCCACGTTCCGCCCCAATCGGGGTGGATAGGTTGGAAGCTGTTATGAGTACCTTAGTCCTTAAGGTGTTCCAATATTCTTAAGTCACCACTTGACATTTTCACCGTAATAATATCTTACATCTTACCAGTTGTTCTTTAAAGGGAAGCCAAGGTGCAAACTGCATGACTGGAACTGTGGGATTCTTAGTTAACGCAGATCTGGTACAAAAGACTTGTTTAGAACGGTACAACTCGGTAAGGGACAGGAAGTGAAGGCATTGCTCTTCTTCGCAACCTTCTCTCTGATGTGTTCGACAGTAGGCAACCGATCCTCGCTTGCAGCAAACTGGACATAAAACACTCATTTTATATTTCATATTTTTTAACCAACAAAACTCATTACGCATGCACTCAAGTATCAAACCCAATTGCTTTTTCACAACATAACAACAGTTAACCCCAGTGGTGTCTTGGTGACCATGTAGAGATGGTGATATCTTTGATGATGCATCCTCAGCCAATTCTAGGTTGTGATTTCCTCTGTGCATTACAATCTCAACTGTTGACGAGTTGCAAATCAAAATAACGGAGTAGTCATCTTTAGTGGTGAAAAACCTGGCAAAGCCATTGAACAAATGAGGGTTATCATCTCTCCACAACCTGTCTTTGCCCCACTGAAATAACTGCAGTACTAGCCGCGGGAAAAGCCCTGCAGGGACTAAACCGCCCTTGAACTTGATAAACAAAGAAGGAAACTTTGCAGAGGCAGCCAACTCAGTGATCTGCTTCGGTGGGGGCGACTTTAACATTGAAGGGACTAGGTAGCTCTTGTTGCTTATTGTATCAGATGGCCAGGAGCACAACAGGCAAAATTTCTCCATTATTTTAATGAGAGTGGCACATGTTTCTTTCTCGTTAAACAAAGGACCCCAAACATGTGCTAGGAGATCTTCATCCAGAATTCCTTCCCTCTCAAGCTTAAGCCATGAATCCAAGAATTTCTCTTCATCAGCATCATATGGCTTGACAGTGATCACCTGTTTAAAAACGTCAATTAGCCACTGAGGATTTAATATTATGATTTTTTTCAGCTCGGCGGTGTGATCAAAATGGATTAAGCACCTTAGATCATGCAGGTAGTTCATCAAGGTCTTGAACTCGTTCTCGTCGTTGACTTTGCAGACCTTCGAGGCGATATCTTTCGCCGCTTCCAGGGAAATGCATTTATATCCCTTTTTCTTCACAGCTTGAAGCGCCTTCTCAAATCTCAACCACTTCAGTGGAATGGTTGCCTTGATGTGCGGAAGTTCTTTAGCCTTTTCAAGTACTTTCTGTCGCAATCGTGTGACTTCTGGGCAGTCAGAGGATTTGACCCTCAGACTTGTGTTATCTACAAAGAATACATCACACAAATGGTCACCGTACGGTTTTTTCTTCAGATAACCAAAAATTTTACGAGATAATTTTCTAGGGTCTTGACCGCTGAATGGTTTATCAGCATGAGTGCATACCAGGAAAACGGCTGGAAGTTTCTTTGGCAACACATCTGATGAGCAACATTCTTCGTGGCTACAAGTTAACGAAGCCACAGACATCATCCAGAAGTTGAGATAATCTATATTAGTTCTCAGATTTGCGCTGTCTTGTATTGCTTCGTATACACCTTGTTTCTCCAAAGGCTCAGCTTTGCCATATGGATCTAAGCTTAGGTCATACACCAAGCAGTAAATTGCTCGTGATGTCAGAAACAGTGGGTGTGTGTCATAATAAACCGACTGTCCTGCAAAATCCCAAAAATTAGAACACACGTCGTCTCTGTTGTCCTCCAAATCGCCACGAAGCAATGATTCAGTCACTTCTGCTACTTCTTCGAACTCGGGCATGTCTTTAATAGATTCGTGAGTAACTGGTCTCGGATTTAAGTTTGTTGAAGACGGTAATACGCCGAATTCGTGACTTCTAAGAGTGGGATTAGGTGCCTGAATGATGTCCGCATTTTTCGCAGGATCATTTGGTGTTGATTCATGTGAGATTTCGTTGCCACCGGGTTCAAAACTTTCTTCTGTAACATGAACCTCCTCTTCACTTTTAGTTACAATTTCGGTCGGCTTTACGCTATCCATGATGTATCTGGCTGCGAGAAGCCCATAGGAATTTGCTGTAGTTTCAGACGTTTGGTCCTCGCTGCTCTTTCCTGTTACCCAAGGCTCTGTGGTCAGTTTAAAATAGGAAGGATCCATTTCTATGCCAACGGTGCTATCTTCTTGTGGGTCATAGCATATCCCTTTTAGCGACTTCATTAAACTGGTCTTTCCTGCTCGGTGTTGTCCAATGAGCATCAATGGAAACCTTCTGTCAGACGTTTTTCCATGAGTGAGAGCCTTTTCATAAGCTTCCACGGCGGACGAACCCCGCGCAAGAATCTCTGGAGGAACTATAATGTAACAACAAATGTTTCACAACCTCAGTTTTCTAGTCCATGGGTGTTGCTTCCGAAGATTTGAGAAGATAAAAAGTTAAAGTAGAGGGGAAAACAACGTTGTATTTCTCAACTCACTCTAGTGTCACAGACTGTCGGTCACTAACTCACACCTATATTTCCAAATTAAAACATGTCTTTGCACATTCAACGAGCATGAAAATCAGCAAATAATTCTAAAGAAAAGACACAATGATCAACAAAATAAAACTACTTACCCTTGTCATGAAACAAGAAGGCTTCCGCTTCCTTTAGAAATTCTAGAAATTCAGGCAGCTTCTCAGTTATGGCCTCTGGTTCCCATAATCCGCTGCTAAGTAAAGTGTCCCACTCTTTGTAGCGCACATGGACGTCAGTCTATTGAGCAGCAATGGAAAGAGAGAGTCGTTCAGGTAAAAGCTTCACATCTGAATATAAACATAGGGTGATTGTAGATAATATCAAACGGTCAATGCTTAAATGCATTTTGCTCATAATGACTCAATCGCTATGCCAAGCTTGATATTAACCAAGGTAAAGTTTTTGTACTTGGCTTCGAATGCTTAGTTATCGACACGGTAAGGATATATGCTCTCCAGGAACGACACTTTTCGACAGTATAAAGCGAAAATGGCGATATCTTGATGGTTCTAAAACCTTAAAAAGATGACTTTACAGTTACCAAAAAAGTTTTTCTTCTGCTCTGGCGAACACAAAATTTTAGTATTCGAGGAATACGTAACAACCTATCTCTTAAGTAACCTGACATTTTACATCGCTGATGAAGTTTGAGCGATTTCAAGGAAATATTTGATTTTGCTTCAAAGTGTTGCTTTGAGTTCTGAAATTTGTATTCTATTAAAAAGTGACTTAACAGGCCTTGTATGCTGACCGTTTCTCTGACGTCTTTATTTCCTATGTTCCACGCACGTTCTTTAGAGAGGATGATGCTAAAACCTGTACTTGCAGTGTACTCTGTTCGTTTAGAACGACGCCAATGTATAATATGAAATTCGCCCCCGTTCGGAAGATGCAGTCCCATCGGCTCTTCATCCGTCAATGTCAACTCAGACAGGTAGGTCAACAGAGCATCTTGGATGTTTTCGTCTGGTGCATAGTCCATGTCCTGAGTGCTATCTGTGAATAGAAAATACTACATTAAGGGTCTTGAAAGGATGAAATGATTACCCTCTTCATAGCAATTCGTATAGATAACAAACCGCGATAACAAACGTGGCCTGGTGTGAAGTATAAAAACGATAGGTAAATAGGAAATGGGTTAACAGAAAATTATTACCGGTAAAAAACTTATGCGGAGCGTTCGCCCAGGATTGCAAAACTTTACAACGGCCTCTCATAGAATGCAGTAAAACTTATAACGCTCCAGCTTATACAGGTGAACACCATTACGGACGAAAAAGCTCTGCTTGGTATTTTAAAGGCCTCTCTGACGCCAAAAGATGATAAAGTTTAGTTGCTCCTGAACATCTTAAGGTATTTCGTAAGGGTGCAAACACGCATTTAACTATGTCGGCGGTGTCTGGCATACACGTAAACAAATCTGAGGCAGATTGTAGTTGTTGTACAAAAAAAAGGTATATAGGTCCTCAATCGCCTAAGTTACGACCAAGGAATATAGCTTGGAAAGATCATTATATTAGTTCCCATCCGTGCAATCCGTGGAGGTCAACTCGCATAGTTTTAGCAACTGTTCTACCCACACACCACGCCATTTAATGAAGGTTGCCTCGTTGAGAAGAAAGCGATGTTCAAGGCGTGGACTCTAGTAATAAAGTTATTTCTACAAAAAATGAAAGAGTTCGAGAGACTAAAAGATTATCACACGGGGCTCTGCCATTTAACTTAGCTTAAAGAAATTTCAGGTACTGTTCTAAAAAACGACGGGTTACAACTACTAAGAGATGAAAAGAGAATTGAAAGTGGGAATGCATACGAACACTCCTGATTGGCTCTTGAAAGAGCGGTTTTAAAGTTGTCACGAGCCGGATGACAAGCATTTTGTATCGACATTATACCTTGACATAACGTCTCACTCTGCTTTTGTTTGCAAATTGTCATTTCAATACGCCATTTCCGAGTTCGCCCGGGCCTCTGTATCAAAACGAGGTTAAGTGCTCAGCCTTTGATACGGAAATGATTTTTCATTCTCATGCAAAGAAAATTCATTTCCACAAGAAAGGTTGAGCACTTGGTCTCATTTTGAAAGTGAGGGTTTTTGGAACTCGGAAGCCTATTACATCACCATCTTCTTTAAGAATGTTCATAAAACAGTTTTGATAGTCAGCCAAAGTTCTACGGAAAACAAACCCCCTATTTTTAATGCTTACAGTCTCATTTTCAAGAGTTGGGTATCGTCGCATTATTTTTACTTTGAGCTTATTCTTACACCGCTACACCGCCTACTTATCCTACCTCTTCGTCCCCGGATGTGAAACCTGCAATCAAATTCACAGCCTGGAAACAAGATGTCTGCTCTAAAGTATTTCAGAGACTTGAGCACTAGCCATCCCCGACATCTTGACCGTGTATCTTCATCTTTGAAGTGTATCTCTCCCAAAATGTTCTTCACATCAAAAGGAATTGGTATGCCTTCCAGCGATTGCTTGGAGTTCTTATTTGCAACCCATACCTACGTTAAAAAGGATGGCTTATATTGTGAAATCTGACATATGAACATTGATCATTCCCGAAATAGTGCATACAAAACCTGCTTCAGAGTAACATTTTAGCTATTTACCACATTAAGTGTCAAGGGCGCTGTCTCTTTTTTTGTTTTTACGTATCTATGGAAATACCTTTTAGTAAATTTATCTCGGGAAAGTGCAGTCATGACTTGTGGGTGGGCAGGATCAATTTCCTGAGGTATTTATTTCTTAACATACCCGTACAGGTTTGTGTATCTATTCATAAAAATACATATTACCAATTACTGTTACAGGGAAGTCAATAAGAGGGTCTTGCCGGTCATAGGCACAGGACTCAGGATTGTCAGCACGCGGACTTACCTTGCATCTCAATTGATGCCAGCATGGTGTCAGAAATGTTAAATCATATCTTGTAACATAACCTATCTCCTCAGGACAGGTTTCTTTGTACTGTGTTCTTAATGCTGTTTCATTTGGCGTAACCCCTTCCAAATTAAAAGCTAGCTTCCAGTAATGTTTACTGTTAGAGTATTTAATCTTTTCTGTGGCCTCTCTAATGCTCCACCGTCCATCTCGAACATCCTCTGAAGGAAAAATGAAAGAAAGCGATCTTTGGATTGATGTCAACAACCAACATATACACAAGCCCTACATAAAACTACATAAAGTAATTAGGGCGAATTTAGCTAATAATTTGTAGTAAAACTAAAAAATACACTACCTCGATCTGGAACTTGAATTGTAATCTTTCCAAAGTGACACCACATGTCCGCCTTTGGCATCATCTCTACAGCCATTTCCTGTTTGATCTTACGTAAGGACACCAAGACGTCCTTCATAAGTTGTTCCTCATAGCTTGGAAGACCGATATTAAAGCTGCAACTTTCCTAAGTGAGAAGAAGGAAGTAATAACCTTGCTTATTTTTTAACTTCACTATGCAAACTCTGGGTGGAAAGCTTCAAAAACATGTGGTGTCAGCCAAACAGCATCCAAGATGACACTGCCTTCGAGTCTACTTTAGAAAAGCAGATTTTTTAAATCTGGTAAAAATTTCAAATATGCATGCTAAAACTTGAAATGAATATTTATAAACAAAACTCTCACTTCAAGAGTAAGAAAGAATTGGAAGAGGCAACCTAGGAATGGAGAGCAGAGGAAAGGAGCGATCTTGCTGTAATAATGAATTGTATGACACACCTGTGGTTCACATTGCTCGGCTGGTTTCAGTCGGTATTGTACGGGCGGTCCGGTTGGATGGCCATTTTTCAGCACCTGTTCCAGTTTCAGCTTAGGTACCTTGAGATTATAGTCATCGACGTAGCAACTGGCTTTCGTTTTTTGTCGTGCAACACCTCTCACTCTTGCAAAAGCCTTCAACAAAAGCCAAAACACATACGGTAATTAAGATCCGAAGATTGAGATAAAGTTTCTGGCCACCCTTAGATAGCAGTAAATTTCTGCACGCCCCTCTCCCCACTTTTATTCCCCAGGCACCTCGCCCTGAAAAGAATCAAAGTGTCTGACATGTAAGTAGCTTAGGAACGCGTGACGAACCCCTAAGAACGTCTTCGTGGGAGGCTAATTCCAGGCATTCAGATAGAGGACGGGCACGACCCAAAGAGAATTAAGTAGGAAAATAAAGCGAGGATGCTCCCCTGAAGAAATTTGAAAAATTGGATTGTCCGAGGTTGAATTTCGCGTGTTCCCTTTTCTCTCTGCTCGCCATGTTGAGTCACTCTCCACTGTCTGAACGCCTGCTCGAAGTAGTTCCGCAGTTACGCTCCCTCCGGAGAATTTGGAAATACTAAACTTGCTAGAGGCAGCATTTTGTGTATTTTGAAGGCATTCATATCCTACATCAGACAGTGGAACCTGGTCGATACATCCACATTTGTGGTCGTATTAACGAGGAAGCGTCCAATAACGATAATGAGCATTCGAATTCTAAACAGTTTGATGAAATATTTTTTAACTTTTGAGAATTAAGGTTATGTCTTCACGAAAAGTAAAAAGGAGATCTAAGTTTACTTCTGATTTACTCAAAAACAAAAACGGATTGGACTGTCATGACGATTTGATGGTCTAGAATTTGAACGGCCATAATTGGACTTCATAGTTCGACGGATTGCGGTAGTTATTGAGAAGCAAGATGGCTTTCTTAAAAGTTTCCCGTCTACTATAATTGATGATGGGTTGATGAATTCTGTGTATGTGTGTCCCCATTCTCAAAAACTTAACGGATCCTATTTTTGTAGTTGTGAAGCACGATGCGTAGATCTACATTTAGAATTCATTCCAAGGAAAGAGAACTTTTACCTACCACTATTTCTCCAATCAGCACTTTAGCATACTCCCTTTCTTCTTCTGTTCCAGAGATTATGTAAATTTCTAGATCTTCAGGATCTAAGATTACTCTTGCTCCTGACTGAGCGGAAATGTGTCGGAGTTTATCCGCCTCCTTTCCATTTACTATACCCTTGAAATCGTCTTCAACCTTTATTAGTTCCCGCCTTCTTCTTTTGGCACTATCCTGCACAAAAAACATGAGAGGAATTAGTCCACTCAATCTACACAGGTCAGGCCATGTTCATAATATGCTCGATAGCTTTTGCGCCGGTCCTTAAACCATACCAGATAAGGCTTCTGTTCACACTGTGCATCTCGGCTAGGTGTTGATCATAATATACCGGATAGCCTTTCTTCTCCGAACGAAAAGCTCCGGGGGGTACTCCTGGGAATTCTTGGTTGTGTTTTTTTGTTTGCGCTCTAATCTAAGTAATGATAACATAATTTCTGCCTAAAGGCCAGGTCTGAAAACGGGTATGGATTTTAAAGTTCTAGTCTGAAAACGGGTGTGGAAAATTACATTTTTTGGTCTGAAATCGGGTCAGGATTTAAGAACCGTGCGGCACACCCCCACCGAGAATTCCCAGGTGTACTCCCCCCGGTTTTTTGTCCTACATGAGAAAAATTCTTTCTATTTCTTAAGTCTTAACTCCTATTTTTAACCACTCACAAAAACCACAAATTTACAATGAAACACCAAAGAAGAGAATAAATTAAAATAAATTATGAATTAAACAAACCAAACTCAGTACACTAACTGCACCACTATTTATTTATTTGTGATTCGTTTTTAGTCACTATAAATAAAAGGTCAATTGAGAATGCGAAAATGATCAAAATATTTTTCCACAGATTTATATTAAGAAGTCATTGAAGGTGGCACAACGTTGCACAGAGTATACTTGCTGACGATAAGTTTAATCCAGGCTCTTAAGTGTACTGTGAAAACTACTTCCTGTACTATAACTATGGGTTTAACATTTTACCACTATTTCCTTGATAAGCCTTTCAGCATGTGCAATTTGTTCTTCATCCCCAAAGATTGTAAATCCAGCTTCCTCCTTGCTTTGGGAAACTAATCTTGTTCCAGTTGTCTCCATAATTTCATGCAGCTTATGGCCACCCTTTCCAATTACATGACCCTTCAGACTCACTGGAACGTCTACGAATTTAGTTTTTTCTTCTTCTTTTTCCTCTTTACTTTGCTCCCGGAGACTATCGTACGATAACCTGAGAATTTTAATAGGACAAAGAAACCCACTGAGATACATATACTTTGTTAAATATGTAGAATTAGTGTAGAATGTTTTAGATGTGATATATTTAGTCATGTGTGACAATACATAGTCGCCAGCCGTTGCACGTTCGATTTTCCAAAGTTAACCTTTTTCTCCGATTTTTTACTTCTTTTACTTGTAAACCCTTCGACTGCCGCTGGTTGTTACTGCAAGTAATTTCGGCAAATGTTGCCAGTAAAAATCAGATCAGCCATGGTGACGAGACTCAACTCAGCTGTCAACTGGAAGCTTACGAGAGTGATCGCAGGAAGAGCGTCTACTGTATAACACAAATGTTCCCTTCTTTACCTGGTGGAATCAGTGTTAAATTCTTCAATTCAATTATAAATAGAATGGGGTGTTCGATTTTAATTTTACACTCCAAAGTTTACTGTCAATAAACTTAAAACATCGAAGAATTTAAAATAAACAAATCATTGACCATTCTACAGCATTAATCTTTCTCCGCTACCTTCGACTGCATTTAAAACAGCACTATTAAAACGACAAGTCAAAGCCCTACATTTACTCCTGGATGTGACGATCGTTCATTGAGGGGACGAAAAGAGAAAACTGAAATGATGTTTTACGTTATTCAAAAGCCTGCAGCTATTCAAAATCTGAATCGACGAATTGAATGGATCCAGATTACTCGACGAGTCGACTAAGACATAACTTACCTCTTTCGCCGTCTCTCATAGTCATCGCTAGCCATGACTTTTTTATTTCTAAACGTGTTACACTTTAGCAATTAGTTTAGAACTGTTCTACGTCTGAGACTAAACGATTAAGAGGTCCAATGATAAAACGAAACCCATCAGAGAAAACAACATGAAGTACTTCCGGGATGCAAATTTATACCGAGCTGTCATCACTGTTCACAATCTCTTACCCAGCGTCTTCTGGCTTTTTGGTCAGCTGAAGCCAGGAGACTCTGGGTACGAGATTGCACTCTCCACGTCACTGAACTCTGTTTTCTGACTGGCAACCAAAGCAGAAGCCCTTTTTAGTATTCCCTTTCAGTGTAGCTTTGGCCCTGAGGAAGGCTAATTTTGCTAGCCGAAATATTGGCCTTAAATAAATCAGCCCTTTGCCGTATTGCCAGCCTTGTATTCATTATTTGTTTTAATGTGCAACCTTCGTTAAACGCCTGACAGCTTGTTGACATTTTGTCGAAAGCTCGCAACATCACACTGATCTTGTATAAAGTGATTTGCGCAGCACCCATGTGAATTTTTTTTAATTACTAGTAATATTTATGAAGAGGGCAAATGTCACCAAACGTTAAACTAGCTTTCGGGACTAGCTTGATGATCCCAAAGCCAGTCCAGCGCTGCCTGGGACAGACCATTAGAAACGTCATGGGGGGGGAATTTTCAAGCACCATGAACGTTTTCTGTTAACCTTTCTATGATCTCATTAAATTTCCAGGACAGGGCTTGAATATTTTTTAGGGCTACTTGGCGTGTATGAATTATTTAAATACATTTTCCCTCTTTTTGTCGGCTTCGCCCTCTCCCCCCTTTTAAGTTCATCTTTTCAAAGAGCATATCATAATAATAATAAGAATAATAATAATAATAACATATTTAACCAGGGTAAACCCGTCAGCTGAAGCTGTTTTAAATGGGTGCCCTGGGCATCAGTCGGCTGCAACCTCGTCCCAAGGGTCTTCTCGTTTTCCAATATGGCAGCGGCAGGAGAGAATCCTGCCATATTGGAAAACGAGAAGACCCTGGGGATGAGGCTGGGGCGGCTGGTAAGACCGGTTTTAGCTATCAAAAGTTATACCTGGTTCCAAGCCTTAGGGGTATAAAACAAGTTGTGATCGCATTGAATTTATTAATTTGGGTTGTTTTTTGTTAATTGGAAACTGGCTTATTGAACGACTGTTTACTATGAATATGAATTGTGATAAAGAAACGAATCATTTGGATATTTTCAATTTTTGTTTGCAAAGTAGCGCGCTTGCTGGCTTGCTTCCAGGGGTGTCGCATTGAGAAAGGGGTTTATTTCGTTAATTCTAAGCTATGTATCTCTCGCTCCATAACTGGTCTTTGAGTGTAACTGTACGTAAACTAGAAAACAATGCAGTGTTTCCGTTGATAAGCGTCTTCCAGCCACGTAAATGATGAAGCGCATACTTGGAGTGACACCTACGGAAAGCTCTTTTTTTAATGTTTTGTTCAAAATGTACTGGAAGGGGGATGGAGGAGGGAGGTTTAGGAGGTACAATTGCAGTCAACCTTGCCTTTTTTACTGTTTGCTTACAAAACCTGTTGCTGACTAGAGCCATCAGAATACGGTACCGTTGATTTACAAGTTGTTCCCTGCTATAAATTAACAAGTTATCCTTCCCCATACCCGATCTACAGGAGTAGAAGCCTTTTGGACGGAACGGCAAATTAAAAAATCGCTTCATATCCAGCAAACTTCACAGGACCATAATAATTGTTGACTGCGCCTCGCTTTGGCGCACTGAGACGTGACAGCGACTCTTCCGGAAGTCAACCAGTTTACAGTAAACCGCTGTGTCCACATGATCCGCATAGTTCTAAAAATAACTTTTTTGAAATTTAGATATCCCGGCCAACGCCCATAGACTTCCTCTCTGTCCTATTATGATCTCTTCACAGGACACAACTTAGGAATCAAGGATTCATGAAAGCAAATTTTATTTAAAAAGTAATCGTAATTTAAGCCCTCGAGTAAAGAAAATGAAAATGAACAAAAAACGTTTTCTTAAAATCTCGTTGTATTGTAATTGTTATTGACTCAAATCGACCTTTTTAACTTGAAATAGCACGTGTCCCTTAAGAGCAGACCCTCGTATGGAAGCTCCGGAAGCGTTTGGAAGCGGTTTTATTTCTTATCTACCCTCGTTTATTTATCTACACTATGACTAGTGTTGATTGTATGAAAAGGTTAAAAGATAAGAATGATTCACTGAAGACTGAAATTCGTATAATCTGACGGCGAAACTAGAATAGTTTGGGTTCCAAGAAAAGATTCCCAGTATACTCTTAGATATCCTCAGAAATGAAAATTCTTATGTTGACACAGCGATGATTAGTTCAAGGGCAAAGAAGTACTACTCTTAATAATTAAAACCATTTTCCCCCTTTTTACTATTCATTCTTTGACTTTGTACAGTGCTTTTCAACTGTTGCGCAGTCTGCGAATGTTACGTACTTACCGCATTTTATCGAATAATAGCCGTGGGTGATTATTATTTTTTCGCACAGAAAGGGGGCGATTATTCGCGGTTAAGGCGAATATTCGAGGAAGGTGATTATTTCAAAAATTGCTCAAAGGAAGTCGTACCCTAAATATTTTGTTTTATTATCCAATTATAAAAAAAGATCACATATGTCAATGTCAATAACCTCGGCGTCAGAGCTTGATTTATCACTGATCAGTTTTGCTGGATCAGACTCTACTTTGGCTTGGCAGGGATTGGATAAAGCAAAGAGAAGAAGGCAAGAGGTGTGTGTGTGTGTGTGTGTGTGTGTGTGTGAGGAGGGGGAGTCGATTATGGAGGCGCGTAACCGAGGGACGGCTATTATTCGAGGAAATACGGTACTTACGAACTTTAAGTTTCCTTTTTTTCGTTCCCTCTGTCTTGGGTTGTTGGTTCACCCATTTCAGAACGCGAGACGTTCTCACAATATTTTTCTCGTTGCCTTATATCAAATATGCATTCATTTGAACGCGAATAGGGTTAAATTTGAAAAAAAACGTCACCGTTCCCTTGATGAAAATCAGGTGGACTAAATTGCTTAAACAAACAACCCTTGCTAATTAAGTCTGTAATTTAACGATAGTGCATACGATAAAAAGGAGTAGACCTGTGTAAAGCTTGGGTCCACTGTGGTATAACGTACAAACAAATTCACATATTTAGCTCAGTTCGTAATGACATTTTTGCTTCTTCATCTTAAGCGCTTGCAGTTCGATGAAATATTCTACAATACCTTCTATTTTCTAAATACATACAATTATTTTTTAAAATCCTACTGTTTAGAGATGTTTTTTTATCATATCATTAAGAATCTTGATAATTATTGTAGTTTTTTTGATTAACTAGTCTCTGACAGCAGTCTCACCGACATCTCCTGGCAGTTCCTAAATAAATCAATATATACATATTAGCTTCACGTCATTCATTTCCATACATGTTTAACTTGTGGATAGCCGAAGGTAATACAGTCTTCCCTGCAATTATTTCGGGGCTTTGATTACTAACTGCTTAAAAGAATGTGGCTTCTTAAAAAGGTTATGTTAATTTACGACGAGCTTCTATTGAGCGGCTAACTTCCATTACGCAGCCTTGTCGGGACCCCGTGCATGGGTGGCCGCTTAATTGAGGTTCAACTGTATAATAACAGGAAGGAGCCACAAAAGAAATATCGAAGCTTCTAAATTACAGAAGCTGAACCCCGACGTCGCTATTTTCAGAAACTAAACTGGTGGATACGCGAAGTGTGTTTGGACAGGTACATAATTTCACTCTTCTTTTGCTTTGCTTTGGTATGCTCTTTTCGAAAATAACATTAAGGCAGAAAATAAATCCGACTATGAATTTGCTTATAAGGGCAGAAATGTACGGTCCCCTGGTATTTATGAAATAAATGAACTTGTGATAAACTGGTATGAGAAAGTAGCTCACTATGCCGCCTATCCTAGGGAATTCTCGGCTGTAAAGGAAAAAAATATAACAAGAAACAACACTATCAGTTCATATAAATAACGGTGAAGATGAAAGCTCATCTTTCCTGCTACGAGAACAAATATATTGGACACTGACATGATAAGAAAAAGGTTCTCTAAGACCCCCTTCTTTCATGAATACTCCAGAAGAGACAATGACCTGCATTTTAGCTTTGCATTATAGAGCTCCTCTAACAAAAAAATCAACTGTGCGCGTGTTCGTAAAATGAGAAGAAACGTAGATTGTCAAAGCCTGGGGAAAGTTAGGTTACGAAGCTCGAAAACGTGAAAACGTGTGAGGTGCTAGTCATATTTCGACCAATTTCTTTCATTAATTTGTAACGAACTTGCGAGTATGCAGTGCACTTTCATAAACGGTCGCCGCCATTTTTGAGACAGATGGAAAATTTTTGACCTGTTATTGAGAGTGTTTCTGTTAGAAGGAAAAAAGATCGCAACCAAGGGATCGAACCGGACCTCGACCCGGCCTTTCGTATCTTTTCTTTCTCTCTTACCATCGCAATACCACACCGACCCGCCAAAATTCCGAAAAATTCTAGTACATAAACCAGCAATCTGTCTTTGTCAACTGATACATCAATAACAGTTGGCCCTAGCACTTTCCATAACTTTTACGGTAAATTCAACTTGGGCTTTAACGTCTTTATTTCTAAGACTAAAAACGTATAATTTGCCTTATTATATGGCTGAGTCTGTTTTCGCCATGCGATTGGTCAATTTGCGGTCCGCAACTTGCTATACGGACCACAATTTTTAAAGAAAATACTCATTTCGGAGCTCTAAATCTCTTTACCTCGGAAAAAAGGTTTAAATAAAGTTATAAGACCCCTGTCAACCTTGGGGACTTGGATGTTGACTTTGGCCTTCAACATTTTAAACTGTATTTATTTCTGAACGAAGGCGATGAAGAAACTAACTCGTAATCTTATCGAAGAGGATTCTAGTCAGTGTTTGAAAATTTTATCGCAGTACACAGTTAAGAAGACAAAAATCGATTGGCAGAGATTCGAGATGTTTTGCCTAAGAGAAATGAGTAATTCCTTCGACAAATGTGATAACAAACATACCTGCACACGATCATCTTGACAGGCTTCTTTGCCATTTGCAATGTTTTTTTAAAGACCAACGAAGAGATAGAAGCGAGTTCGAGCCAGACACAATGCCCAGTTTTCAAAAGACTCCAGCGTCACACTTACGAGTGAATACTTACAGTGCTCTTAATTTTGACCGAATGTACTTAAAAATATGTCTGTAAACCCTGAGGACTGGGATGTTCACTTTGCCTTTCCAAATTTTTACCTAGCTTGATTTTAATCAGAACGAAGCTGGTGTAGAAACTGAATCGTAACCTTACCGAGAAAGAGAATTTTAGTCAGTGTTTGAAAATTTTAACGCAGAGCACAATTGAAGACGAGAATGAAGTGGCAGAAAGAGAGGTTTTCCCAAAAACAATTAACGAGCGAATCCTTCGACAATGACAACAAACTTACCTTGGAAAGCTTCTTTGCCTTTTGCAGTGTTTTCTTTACAAGGACAAACGGAGGAAAGATGGAAACGACTTCTACACAGACACAGTGTCCGGTTTCCAAAATACTCCAGCGTTACATTAAAGAGCTAAAACTTACAGTGCTCTTAGTTTTGACCGAATAAACTTTTTCCACATGGCGAATTTGTTTTCCCTTTCTCGGAAAGCCTTTGTCACGTGCTATTGTTTTCGTGCGCCAATAAAAACTTTCTTTTTTGACACCGCCAAATGACTGTCACATCGTGTGTCACTTGTTTCCGGTCCCCCAAACAGGAAGAAGCCATATAATAAACATCTTATTAGCCTCGTTTTTTCGGTCCGTACTGTAAATTACGGATCCTCCTTTTTTTCCATCGATTTATGGCCCAAGCGCTTCGAGAGAGGTAATACCTAAGAGGTAATACCTCTTAGAGGTATTTATTTGTAACTTAATCCAGGGAAAATCTTACATCTATCATGACTAAAGGCTTGGTTACCAATGATGGCATTGACCGTTTTAATGGCAACTACCGTTTACGAAAGGGCAATAGGCAGCGCAGTAGCACAAAAACGATGTCCGATAGTAACCTGCAACTTATAATATGGTAAAGATCTCCTCTCCTTTCTTTTGAATCAACATGCACAAAAACATACTAACCTTTGCCTGTCGACTACCTGTCGCACGAACAAACTCTTTAAGTCTCTGGAGGGATGAAAGAAAAGGCAAATGATAATGAAATCAGGTAAAAGGGGAGATTTAGACAACGTGAAAGAATGAGAAAAAGCGATCCGCTATTAAGGTTTTGTTGTACAGGCAGCCCAAGCGTACCATGTGAGGAAATCAAGGTTAATTCAGTTCGACCTGACAGTTGTAATATCTGAGATACTTTTCGAACAAACGCGAAAAAACGTCTTTCCAATGACGTCTATTACTTGGTCCATCTTGAAAATTTCTCCCATATGTTGCAAAAATGATAATCCTTGCATTATCACAGACGAATAGGTCATTGATGACTCGAGTTTTAATCACTTCCGTGAATCATCTTCGATGGGGTTTCAATGAGCAAAGCATTGGTTTAAAAATTATCAAATCATCATGACCTCTTAATTTAAAGAGGTAAAGCCGCCTTGCCTTTACTCCACAGCCGTTTCTTGTCGTCTAGTCAGTTTTAACGTCATTTCGTCAATTTTCATTCCTCCGATTTTTATGGTGCACCGTTTGGAACTCACAAAAGCCAGCATACTGCAATGTAGTGCTCAAGTCTTTCCCTTCTCCGAGTACTTTTGTGTACCATTCTGAGTGCTACAGCAGAACGCAATATACATACAAGTACACTGTGCACACATACACGTATAGAAACACGTAATTATTGTGAGTGATCCCACTTTTTTTACCGATGAAGCCCCAATACACATGGTCCACGTAAGTCCTGAAAATTCAAGCCACAAATGACCAATCCGTGTGTGACGATACGGAATAATCAACCTTCGCTAACTAGAAACGGCTAGACGACTTAAAGATATTTAAATTTTTCCAGCAACAACAATTGGCCGTCTGTCCCCTTTATCTTACTAGGGTATGTTTGAAAAGTACCTTTGTTGCTGTAAACCTGAGAAACATTCACATAACGTTTAACCGTTCATTTCTTTCGTAACAGTTGATAAAATAAATAGAGTGAAAGCTCACCTTTAGTCAAACTCAAAAGTTTCTTGATAAGAGATGTACACTGTTTCTCCCAATTGTACGTCTCTTCATAACTTGTTCGCAAGGATTGGATTTCTTGAAGACGCTTTGCCCTTTCTTTCTGACGAACAGAGGCTATTGCCTTTGCCCAGTCATTAGGGTTTTTGGATTCCACAACGAATGAATGCCCCTGTGGAAGAGTACGTAATGCAAGTCCGAATCCTGAATTGCCACTTACTAGAATGGGAAGACCAGCGGACAATGCTTCAAGACCTGTCAATCCAAAGCCCTCTGTTCTGGAAGGCATGATGGCAAGGTCAACCTCACAAAACAGTGCTTTCAGCCTTTCTTTACTTTGAATGAACTCCCTTACAATAAGCTGATCTTTAGGGATTCCATACTCGAGCAAACGGTTCGTGACTTCATCCTGTTTCCCTTTGGGTGTACCAACAAAAACCAAACAATAGGAGTTGTCCTCTAGTTCAGCTAGTGCTTTCGGAGCAATGTCGTATCCCTTGAGGTTGAAGTCTTCAGGATCACCGCGGCCAAAGGTTAAAACCTTAAACGTCTTCCCTTCCTGGGATTCTTGCTTTACTGTTTTGTACTCGTCGAATACACCCGGAATCAGTTGAATGAGATCCTGGGTTTTCTGATAATACCGAAGGTAGGATGAATAGGCATCCTTTAACTTAGCCCCAACAGCAACAACGAGATCTGCCAGTTGGCACAAATCTACTTCAACTGTATTCTTCATTTCACCTTTAGCAACTGCCCCAGGATACTCCTTGTACATTCCAAGTTCTTCAGGTGCAGTGTGCACCATTTGCACCCACTTACAACTATGAGACTCGGTAATAAATTGGGCTTGTTTGCCTAGCTTGGCACCATGGCCCACAATGACATCGATTGAAAGGCTTTTTGGTGGAGAGCACAACCAGTCTAGGGGATCATCATAGCCTGGACGCTTCTTTGCTTCCTGAATGGTGACATTTGACTGTGACGCGCTCTTCTTATCTTCTTCAGAACAAGCGTTTTGAGGAACAAGGAGAGTGACATTGACTTGAGGCTGCTTCGCTAGAAAAAATGCAAGCTTTCTGTTTAAGGTTGACAAGCCACCCATGGATGAACTCCACTCACTCGCCAACAGAGTGATGTTTAACTCTGTCGCACAATTTTGTGGAATACTTCGGAGTCCCGCTTCTTTTGTTGTGCCATCTGATCTGGGGAGGCGCGAACCCTGAAAAAAACCCAAAGATTTCGGTAACTATAATCACAGATAGTTGTTAGTTCCTAATTATTTTTGTTTTCCATTTCAATGGCATGAACGCAAGAGCAAATCTGTGTTGTAAAACCTGGCGTATGGAAAGGTGAGGAACACTGGTTTAGAAACTTAAAACCACAGACCTGCCGTACCCTTAACCCTTTGTCTTCCTGTTAGTACAAAAAGAAACATTGCCGTGCAGAGGGTAAAATTTCTAAAAGTTCCAGGACTTTTGCATCTGTGCTTCCAAGCTCCAACTGACTTCAATGCTGAAAAAGGGCGTTTATTTTTCAATTCTGTTGCGGAAACGTTACTTCCCGCTAACTCAACAGTTTCATTACTGCTCATGTTCGGAATGTTTACTGCAGCGTTAAACACGGAGATAATTACAGTGTTCATGAGTCAGTACAAAGACAGATTTTAAATGATAAACAGAAACTAAAAGAGATAGAAAGTCGTGAACACGCTTGACAAAGTGTCCATGAAAATTACGAATTTGCATAGCATTAGAGTTAGCGAAGACGATTTTGTTATAAGCACTGCTGTAATTATAAATTCTACTGTTCCTGTACTGACGCGGTTATCGCGTTTTTTGGGCGTTCGTGTTAAGTAACAGTAATTCGGCAACGTTCATTTGTAGCTGAAGATGGTCCTTGGTAAGATCGAAACATGTCTTACGCTATTTACATACCTGCTCTGTTGAAGAAGCAAACCAAGGTTCAAACAGCTTCACTTGCACTCTAAGGTTCGGAGCAAAAGAAGCCTTGGGGCAAACTATTATTTCTTTGGCACTGCGCAGCTCTGACTCACACAGGAAGTGCAGACACTCTTCTTCTTTGCATTTTTCAGTACCATGATTTTGACAGTGGCTAACAACACCTTCAGGAGAGCAGACTGGACATAGGAAACTGATTTCGTAACTCATATCTCGTTGCCAGCGAGATTCATTGTGCATGCGTTCAAGTATCGAAACTAGTTGCCTTTGAACATCGCTAGGACAGATTAACTTAGTGGTTTCAGCCTGGACGTCTGTTGATAATGTCATGTTTGCTGACAGACGTTCTGCCAATTTGTGACTGTCATCATCTCCAAGAACTACAACTTCAACGACTGAGGAGTGGCACATAAGGATAACCGAGTCGCCATCTTTAGATGTAATAAGTCGTGCAAACTCGTGGAACAACTGAGGCTGTTCTAATATCTTGCATTCGTCTTTTACCCACTGACAGAACTGCACAACTAGACGAGGAAACAAATCTGGAGGTACCTGGCCGTTTAAAAATTTGACAAAAAGAGGAGGAACTTTTGCCTTTTTAACCAGCCCAAGAACCTCCTCTGGTGGATGTGATCTCAGCATTGATGGGACAAGATAACTCTTGTTTTTACCACCTGAAGGCCATGGGCACAGCAAACTAAATTTCATCATTATTTCTATAAGAACCTGATATGTTTCTTCGTCGTGGTTGTCAAACAAGGGACCCCACGCATGTGCCAAAAGCGTTTCATCTAGAATTCCTTCCTTCTCAAGCTTACACCATGAGCTTACGACCTTCTTTTCTTTACGATCATACGGATCATACGGTTTGACAGTTATCACTGTCTTGAACACGTCAACCAACCACTGAGGATCTAAAACCACCAACTTATTAAGGTCTGCGTTGTCGTCAAAATGGATTAAACTTCTTAGGTCGTGCAAATAGTCCATCAGGGTCTTGATCTCTTTGTCTTCATCAATATCACACGCTTTTGCAATGTCTTTTGCTGTCTCCAGAGTAATGGTCTTGTGTCCACTTTTCTTTGCTACTTGAAGCGCCTTCTCAAATTTTAGCCACTTGATTGGAATGGTGTCGTGTGTTAGCGGTAGCTCTTTGGCGACGGAAACTAATTCCTTCCGCAAGAGCTGGACTTGTGAGCACTCAGAATTGTTGTTTCGCAAACGTGTGTTATCTACAAAGAACGGCACGTCATGCAGGTGGCAACCGAATGGTTTATTTTTTAGTAAACCAAATATTTCGATGGTAAGGTCTTTGGGATCACGGCCGCAGTAAGGTGTATCAGCGTGAGTGCATACCAAGAAAACTGGAGGAAGCTTCTCTGGTAGCAATTCCGAGCTCAGACATTTCCCCTGACTGGATAGAGACGCAATGGACTTCATCCAAAACTCCAGATAATCTAAATTGGTCTTTAGACTACTGAAGCTTTCCAGAGTCTTCTTGTATACTCCACTCTTCACCAAAGGCTTAGCTTCATCGTGTGGATTTAAGCTCAGATCGTACACCAAGAAGTATATGGCTTTCTTCGTAAGGAATAGTGGATGTGTCACATAGTAAACAGACTGACCAGCGAAATCCCAGAAAGTTGAATAAACGTCGTCTTCATTATCCTTCCTGGCAGTTTGGAGTAATGTTTCAGCCACAGATGCCACCTCGTCAGGAACATCTAAAGCTGAAACGTTCCCTACGGGATTTGATTCTTTCGGATCAGGGGCAACACTGGGTACGTTAATACTAGTGGTAGGGGGTGGATATCTAGATTTCTGAGGGTTTTCTCCTACTGTTGATGACTTAGTGTTTCGCGTGTCCGTTTCTACGTTAGCACTATCAGAATCGAAGAGACTTGACTCCTTCTCTGTGACTGTGTGTACTTTGGTACTTTTCCTTTCCTTTTTCAGACTATCTACAATACGTAGTGCTGTTTGATGTTCAAAAGAAATCTCTTTATCTGAATTTTGCCCTTCATTCTGTTCTCCAGTCCTCCATGTCTCTGTACACACGTTGAAGAAAGAAGGATCCACATCTATTCCATCAGTGCTGTCTTGCTCCGGATCGAAAGCTATTCCTCTCAAAGATTTCTTTAAACTGGTCTTTCCTGCTTGGTCCTGACCAATAAGCATTAACGGAAGCCTTTTGAGAACGGTTTTTCCACTTAAAAGGGCCTCGTTGTAGGCTTCCACCGCTGCAAGACCCCGCGCAAGTATTTCGGGAGGAACTGCAACCAAAAAAAAACAAAATAACAAACAACAATGAAAAGCCAAGAAAAGTTAAATTTTGCTTAACTTCTTAGTTCATTTAACGAGAGTAACAATTAACAGTAGATCAACTCTAAAAGCCAGTGGCTCTCGATCCTAATACTAATATCTATTCCAATAAGAACTTATATGTAACAATAGGCCTTTTGCATTAGTTGATCACGTGATCAACTTTCAGTAAACGCGAAAACAGTTCGCTTTTGAAAAATTTTGTTAGCTCGAGCTCAAAGAGCATATTAAAATTAGGTAAC